AATTGTCGGCAAACTGAACGACACTGATTCTGAAGAACTGTATAAGAGGACATTAATCATTTTACGACTTGGTGTGCTGAAAACCACTTACTCCTAAATGTCACAAAAACAAAGGAACTGATAATTGAATTTCGGAGTAAACCCACAAAAATGCTTCCAGTGATAATCAACGGTGAATGTGTTGAGACAGTGTTGGAGTATAAGTATCTGGGAACCTTCATTGACTCTAAGCTGAACTGGAACTCTAACACTGAAGCCCTATACAAAATGTGTCATCAACGTCTTCTTCTCATGCTTAAACTGAGATCTCTTAATGTTAACCCATCTGTGATGTAATCTTTTTATGTAGCATTTATTCAGAGTATTTTAACATTTTCCTTCCATTGTTGGTACAGGTCTCTCTCAGTTCATCTCAAATCAAAAATAGACAAAATTGTTAACACTGCAAGTAAAATCGCTGGAGTCAGATTTGAATGTTTATCATCAATATATGAGCGGCAAATCGTGAATCAAGCTGTCAAAATCATATCTGACCGTACTCACTACTTAAATTCGGAATACAACCTCCTCCCTTCAGGCCGCCGCTACAAAGTTCCAATTGTGAAAACTAAGAGAGTCCGTGCATCCTTTATTCCAAGTACCATATCTCTCTTAAGCCAATGTGAAGATACCTAAATCAAAGAATTTATGTAAATATGTTTGGTATCTCTCTAATGTGTCAGTAGCTCTGCTGATGTAACACAAATTCCTGAAAAGGCATTAAAGTATTATTCTATTCTATTCTAAATCGTCTCATGGGTATTGGATCAAATCAACCATTAATTGAACACCAAATTAGGTGAAGGTCACAAAAGATCGGATTGTCAAATTTGCTCACACTTTCCTAATGTGTTTAACTCAAACACCGATCACCTTTGACAAGTGTCCATTTTTATCCCCCAGGCATATAATGCGGGGGACTATAGTCAACGCCTCGTCTATCTGTCAATATTTCCGTTCAACATTTTCAACAAATTTGGTATATGTTTGAAACAGAACCTAAAGTGGTGCTTTTTGGTACATGCGGATTTTTTGTAATTTTTCTTTATTTTGATTTCCATTGAAACAATTTGGACTTGGTTTCAAAAGGAGGGGGTGGATTTTGTTTCCGGGGCACAATTGAAAAGCATGAAAGATTTTTCATCCCAAACTGGTACATGTATTAACCATGCTCGGAAGTGGTGCCTTGTGCTATTTTGCTATTTTCCCTGTTTCCATGGAAACAAGTTAGGCTTTCGGAGCACAACTCGAAAACCGTTCAATATATTTTATCAAAACTTGGCACATATATCAAACAGATCCTTAGCAGCGCCTTTTGCTATTTGCAGATTTTAAACATTTATATTTTTCTTTCCATTCCAGCATGCTACATGCTGTAACCAATGGCGCACCATATCTCTAAAACTAATAGGTATTCTTTCATGAACCTGTGTGCACACAAAGGTCTGGTTGTGAAATGGTGCCTTTGTGCTACTTTGTTGTTAAGAATTTATGTTGTGTTTGTTTCTATATGGTAGCATGTTTGATTTTTGTCTTTGTCAGGACCATATCGCGAAAGAGTATTATGCATTCTTTCATGACACTACACGCACACAAAAGCCAGGATGTCTAATGCTGCCTTTTGGTATTAGGAATTAATCAAATTTGCATTTTGCCTGTGTACAAAGCTGCGAATCCAGATGAGACAGAATAATCTCTCATCAAGTAGGACTTTAAGGAACTGTCAGATGATTTGTACTTTAAAATTTGTTCTGATGACTCTTTTTTATGCATAATATGCGGAATCCTAATTTGTAGAAATTTCGTATTACTTCCAAAGAACACACTATTGTCATGCTCATATCGAGATCATTCACACACTTTCATATTTGCAGATTTTGAATTCTGATTGTTTACTAGAATACACAGAATACTAGAAAAATATTGTAGCAGCACATATGGTTCAGTGTTTTCACAGGTCATGAGTTGGGTCAAGGTTATTCAACCGAAAGTGCTTTTCAAATGGCAGTTTCTTTCAGACTGTATGGAAGCGGTGGTATTACACCACCGGAAATGATTATAACATTCTTCTATTATCTGAATTTGTATGCACTTCCTTTAAGTGTCTGTCTTGATGATATTATGTCTAAAATGATCATAACCGTTTTCCTTGCAGCTTTGGATGCTGGAGCAGAACTTGGGCAAGAGATTTCCGTGGATGTACAGACTGTCAAATCAACAATGTCAGTAGGTGAAATACCAAATTGTATGTAAAGATACTTAGGAGTAATGTAATGAAAATGTGAAAAGTTCTGATTCTTTCAACTTTCAGTGAATGAGATTTAGACAACTGGAAGCACAATGGGTAGACATACTACACAGTGAATGGAAATGGACATGAACTCAGGCGATTGTTCCACTGCCTCACTGGGTTAAGTGTAACTAAAAAAAATAGTTGTTCTCTGACATTATGGTACTACAAACATGGACATGAGTTCATTGAAATAAGAATTATTTCTGTTTTGTCGTTCTGTTTTGCATTAGACAAGTATAGGTCCATTTGTTGCCGGAAAAGTCAAAGCATCGTTTGGCATATCGATCATAATTGCATCTGCTGGAATATCTCTCACTGGATGGCTGATGAAAACAAGTTTTCCTTTCATACTGGAGATGAACTACGCAAAAGTACCAACAGTTGCCACGTGAGTACAATTTTTAATCACTGCATTATAGCAAACGCAGGTAAGGTATTGGGCATGTTCTATGCATAGTTTCTGTGGTATGAAATCATTGATATTTTGGTGATTATTATATTTTTCAGTGTCGGATCCAACTTTCGAATGATGCAAGAAATAAAATTGCATTTGTAAACTGTCCAAAAGCACTCAAATACAACTTCCTTTGAAAACATCCGAAATAGGGTTTATTCCTGACATACCGTGAAAGTCATTGCATACAGCAGCCTTAGCTACCGTTCTGGTCTATCAGGAGACAATATGAGTATATGATGTATGCCTGAAACAGCTTAGAAAATCGGGTTACTATGCAGCTGAATTATAAGGTAATTCTAAACTTCATCAACAGTAGGCACGTGTCTGAAGGAATGATTTGCTAGCAGTATCACTTTACACTATTTGTTTGTGTGGTTGTTGTTTACCGTCGCACTCAGCAACAATATTCAACCTATATGGCCGCGATCTATAAATAATCGAGTCTGGACCAACCCAGTGATCAGCAGCATGAACATCGATCTACGAAATTGGGATACGATGAAATGCGTCAAACAGGTCAGTGAGCCTGACCATCCGATCCCCTTAATCGCCTCTTACGACAAGTGGGCTTCTGAAAACCACCCGGATATTCATGGGTGCACTTCACAGTCTGATTTGTAGGTGGAATCTCCATATTATTGACAGGATGTTGTGGTTGGCTTATGCTTTAGGGATAAGATATAATCACTCTTGTTATGGTTCCACTTATTGGTCATAATTCGTGTGGATGATAACATGTGTCCGACTTGTTTCCTTTATGCTAACAGTCTTACTGAACATGGCCAGGACCTCCCATGGGAAGCATTTTAGTTGGAGTTAACATACATGTACTTGTTTAGCAGATCTTGAGGTAAAAGGTGGAACAACGTTCTTCCTCACAAATTCTTGTGTGAAACATCGTGTTGTTGCAGAATGTTGTAAAATAAGCGTCTGCTGTATGATATTTCCAAAGGTACCTGTGTTTGGACAATCCGCATGCGTTTCTTGTACCCCTAATTCTTCTTCCACTATGCTGTATTTCATTGCTCAGTAAGTTGCCTTTTCTTTTACTTGCGCCTATATACTATCATATAACCCACATCAGTGTAAAACGATAATAGATTCAATCTTTAATTTCAGAAAAAAACTTAATGTCGAGCTTACACCACTTGAACTACGACTAAGAGCATGGGTAAAAATACTTTTCATTATCAACATGCATTTTGACATTTGGCACTGGCGAAGCCCCACATACACTGGCACCATGTGGGAACACCAATTTGATATAAACGATAACACTCCACCACGATTCCCCAACTGTGACCACAGGAAGAGGTCATTGTCAGGAAGCTGTTCTGTCCGGCAACTTGATGGAAGACATCCCAGTGACACAGCATTCATCCTGGAAGTTGACAGTGGGGATGAAAATAGCCCTCTCACTCTACACTATAGTATTGGTACTTCTCGAGGTGGAAGAGATGTGAAGTCACTGGTGGAGATGAGAGGACCCTCCTTAACATTGCCCACGGTTTCATTGCCTCATGGAGTACCTTTGTATTGGACAATAAGGGCTAGGAACACTCAAGGTATTGAGGCAGCGGCTATGTGCATGCTCCACACCTATGACAATACAGTTCCAGATGGGAGGGTAGATGCTGCCTATCAGTTTACAAGTCACAGAACGGTGATCCAAGCCAACGTTGTTGTATTCGAAGATTCTCCACTAACACCTAATCACTCAGTTGCTGTGGGATACAGTCCTGGGGAGTTCGGAAAAGAAATTTTGGATTGGCAAATTCTGTACCTGGAAAACACAGATGAGAGAAAAGGTGTTATGTCCGAATTGAAAAATTTTGCCCCATCTAAGCCTGGAAAGCTGTCGTCTGCTCCATTTTCTACAGCTCATGCAGATAATGACATTGAATGTGCAAGACTGTGTTTACAGACAGGTTCAAAGTGCATTTCCTTTGACTATGAAATGCATACTCAGTCTTGTGATCTCCAAGAAACAGTTGTCGGAGCTAAGGCGAAACTTCGTGCTGCTGCTTCCTATTTCCACTATGAAAGACTTGGAGTTGGTTACAGTGCTTATCGGGACTTCTCTCACTCAAACCTCGAACATGGTGCCCAGTATTTTATAAATGCAAAGATCACCAACACTCTAGGATATGTTGCCTACCTGCCATCAACTGGGACTCTAGCTGACTTTACTCCACCTGAACCTGGTCCTGTAGGAGAAGTTGTTTCAGATGTGTTGACAGCTGATGGATGTAAGGCAGCTGTGACTCAAAGATGCATCGATGTCACCAAAGAGCTCAATCACAGGTAAAGCTGCCACCTTGGCCTTCTGCACTATGACAACATAAACATGTTAAAACATCCGAAGAGAATATTATTCTATTGACGTGATGTCTTTTACAGAAAAATCATTGATGGGAGTGCTGGAAGAACGGTTTTTGGAGGCAACAAACCTCTTGAAGATACGAAATACACACTCGCAAACAACTATATCTCAGGTAATCTACTTAAACACACATGCCAAGTGTCGCTATGAAAATCTGACATACAATGCCTGTGGAAGACCAATTGGGTAATGATTACATTTCCTTATGTAACTGTGGATAATTTGTTCTGTGTGGTTTGTTGTCATCGGTATATCTATGTTTACTTTTTACAGGAAACTGCGATGGCTTCCACGACGACGAAAGTGGTATTTGGGGCTACACGTGGGCAGCTGGGACGTCTGTGTGTGGGTCTGATGTCGTGAAGTTCACTGATCCTCACGCTCAGCTGCAAACCAGGCAAGACTGGACATACACCGGACTGGGCAAGAACCTCCATCTGGCTGATGGTCAGTACTATATCACCTTCCAAGCTATCAACAATGTTGTACACGGAGGAGCCTTGGTTACAACAGTGTGTCACTCTACACCTGTGACAGTTGACACTACACAGCCCGTTGTACATGAGGTAGGGATTTGCTGTTTGATGAGGATTTTGATATCTTGGGCGTCTACTTCAATGTATCGGACGCTGGATCGGGTATTGCCAGGGTGGACTTTGGTCTGGGCAAAACAAAGTATGATTTATTTGTTAGATCTTACAGCCGTCATCCCTTCCTGAACCGAGCTGACCCATACCTTGTGATAGAAGATCTTGGCTTGACACCTGGTGTCCAGGCTTGGGTGCGGATCAGAGCCGTTAATTCAGGTAAGGAGAAACCATTGACATAATAGACAGACACATTTAAAATTATTAAAATTAAATTGTAACTGTTCGTGAGACAAACATTTATAACATGTTATTGTTTGTTATTTATAGTGGATCTCTCCACTGCAAGCCATGGTGATGTTCCGATACTCATTGACTTTACACCGCCAGTCGTTGGTAAAGTTCTTGATGGGGACAAACTGCTCGAAGATGTTGAATACCAACATAACACTCAGATGATCTGTGCACAGTGGGTCGACTTCTATGATCCAGAATCTGGTATTGACAGGTATGTGAAGTCAATTATGTCCCAACTTCACCTTTGTCTGTAATGGCACAATGTACCTGTATGCATCTCGCACCAATATGGGAATGAAACACTTTACACATTTGCGCATGTTTATACCATTCGCATTGACGATCTAGACGAGTTCCAACAATAGAATGGTATTTCATCTGTCATAGTGATTGTTTAGTTGCTAAAGAACAATGTTGCAATATACCTGTACTTTCAGTTATCTCTGGGGTGTTGGAACGACAGCTGGAGCTGATGACATTCTTCCATTTACAAATTTTACGCATCAAGTTAAATCTGGGTGCAACGTCACAGCTCTGCACCACAATACAACGTACTATTCAACAGTTGTCGCTTTCAATGGGGCCATCAATCAGAAGGAAATTCTGGCAACATCTAATGGAGGTATGTTTGCTAATCGAACATATTGTTTTACGATGTCATAAGCTATATTTAAGGGTCCGTAAGAGGATCTGAAAGTGCAGAAGATAATCAGGAAATAAACCCATCTGCAGAACAATTTAGGACATGATAAAAAATTTGAATACACAAATGTACTGAGAGTTATTTCCCCTAGATGTGATGTATTAACATCCTGACAATGACGTGTGACATTTATTCTAGGAAAGGAAAATATAGCTGGTATTTTGAAAATGCTATAGCAAAATTACGACAATTCCTATAGACAGACAAAAGTGATGGTATACTGTTGTATAGTAGATAGTGTACATATGGATGCCGCAAAGTGATTTTACTCTGAAAGAATGGATGGGTATACCAATTGTCTTCTGTTTCAGTGCTGGTAGACGTAACGCCTCCATTGCGCGGGTTTGTCCAGGATGGTCCTGATATTGTGAATGATGTGGAGTTCAGTTCTCAGACAGCTACTATTGAAAGTGCCTGGGCCAACTTCACTGATCCAGAAAGCCACGTACAAGAGTACACAATGATGGTATATGTAAACGATGAACTGAAAAAGAAGTTCCATATTGGATCCAGGACCAGTTACACTGACCATACAATTGACACTAAACACAAGGACCATATCCGAGTTCAAGTCGCAGCAACAAATGGAGCAGGACTTGAAACACAGGCAGACAGTAATGGGTATCTGGTTGACGAGACACCACCCAACATGATGTATATACAAGATTCTCAGACAGGCAAATACCAAAGTGATTCCTCACACCTTGGCGTCAAGTGGTATTTTACAGATGAAGAGTCAGGCATCTTGGAATACAGATACACTATATTTGAGAAGATTGGCGGTCAGAAGAAAAGGTTTTGGCCAAAGGATGAGACATTTGCTGTCATTGAAGTTGAAAAAGCAGACATACAGTTGGATTCCCTTCCACTTACAAATGGGGCCCAATATACAACATCAGTCACAGCACTCAACAACGCCCTTCTTGCAACGTCAGTAGAATCAAGTGGTGTTGTTATTGACACAACACCACCCACAGTAAAGAAAGTGAGTATCCATCATTGTATAAACTTTATTTCGCAAGGAAGTATGAATCACCAATGATTAATTTTATTCTGTTTCCAAGACAGCAATCAGGAACAATCATGCATATTCAGTGTATGGAACAGTTTTCAAAACCTTTTGCAAGTTTATGAGCACACAAACTGTTCCTGTTGAGAATTTTCTGCAATATAAAACGTATTCATTTGTGCAATATAATAACGCATGCCTGAAGCAAATACACCTGTAATTAGGTACTTGAACAGTTGCTTCACGTGTTGTAGGTGCTAATCGGTCTCCCTGGGCAAGAGGAGGAGCTTGATGACTTCGGAAATGTAATCCACATGGAAGATCAACCGATGCATGTGTCTTGGACAGCTCGTGATCCTGAGAGTGGTATCTCTCAAAATCTGCTTTGTGTGAAGAACAATGTCATACAGTGCACTCGAAGTGAGCAGTTTACCAACTATGGAAGCACATCATCTGTAACATTAGAAGCTCTCAATCTTATATCAGATGAAAAGACTCAGTACGTTGTCGTTATCAGAGTTACAAATGGAGCAGGCTTGACAGCAGAAGCTTCATCAAAGCCAATACATGTAGAGAAGGGAAACTCCCCTGGAACAGTCTATGATGGTCGAAGTATCAGTGAAGATACAGATTTCCAGCAAGATCTTTCAAGTCTCTCCATGTCGTTCGATGGCTTTGGTAGTGATGCGTGTGGAATAACCGGCTATGACTGGGCGATTGGAACACAGCCATACCTGAGTGACATAATGCATTACACAAACTATGGACTTACGATGGTCAGCGACAGTTCAGGATATGCGGAAATAACAAATACAAACTTCAACAATGTGAAGTACTATGTTACAGTCCGGGCTATAACTGGTGTGGAATGTCCAGACTCGTACATCGTATCATCATCAAATGGTGTAACGGTTGACCATGAAGTTCCTGTTATAAATCAACAGTACAGAGGTCAAATGATGTCTTCCTCACTTTTGTTTTTAAACCAAACAACAACTCTACCAATATCATGGTCTGTAGAGGATGCAAATATCATGCCTGTGATATCCTGGTCAATAGGGAGCCTCCCAGTCTCTGGTGAAAAACACACTGTTAATATTTCAAAGTCGGGTCTTGATCCATGGGACATAAGTCTTTCAGCAAACAACACATATTTCGTGACAACATATGGCTCTGATATGGCAGGCAACACGGCATTAATGAGTTCACCGCCAATCACAGTTGATAAAACCCCCGTCTCTATTATTGACTATGAGTGTACACCTTTTGTATCAATGATGTCAACAATTGTCACTTGTTCTTGGAGGTTTTTCGAAGAAGTAGAAAGTACCATCACTAACGTATCAATCACAGCACGTACAGGACAAAGCAGCTCGCATATATTAGTGGTTAGCAGGCTATCGGCAATTGAGAGACGCTGGAGCTTTGACACAGAGTTAGTTTTGCAAGATGGAGTTTCATTCCTGTATATAACTCTGGAAATTGAAAATGGTGCACATCTACGCAGCAAATTCTTCAAAGAAATTGTCTTTGATCAGACACCGCCAGCCGACGGGGAAGTCTCAGTAGTTACATCATCTAATCCATCATCAAAACAGGAAGTAGTCTGCCAGCAACAAACAACGTACATGTCTGTCTTTGTGAATGGATTCAACGATCCCGAATCACAGATAGACAGGTGAATTACAACTTTGCTACATGAATAAAAACTCACAGTTAAGATTTATGCTAAAACATTCCTTACAGCCACGACATTTCCTCATATGCTATCGACTATGTAATCATAATGCTAAAACTGTAATATGTTTCAGGTATGAAGCAGGACTGGGAAGTGAGCGAGGACTGACAGATGTTCTTACTTTCACAAAAGTCACTTTGTCCAACGGACTGTTTGTAGTTCCAAACCTACACTTGGAATCTGGAGCCCTCATCTTTGTCACTGTCCGCATTTTCAACAAAGCCGGTCTGTTCACAGTGAAAGAAAGTAACCCGTTGGCTATCAGCCCAAAATCCTACCTAGTTGTTTTGGATGGACCAGGATCTGATGATGTTGATAGTCAACATGATCTGACGACCATTCAGGGAAGGTGGGGTTACTCTGATCCCTGTCCAGTGGTATCAGCAGAGTGGGCAGTAGAGGACATCACAGGGGAGATTATCAAAGGCTTTGAACAAACCCCTGGGAATGGTCATAACTTCTACAATGATGAATTGACATTGGAGAATATGAAGACATATAGAGTCATTGTGAGAACCACTGATGCCCTCAACCGCACCATGATTGGGAGATCTGATGGAGTGATGGTCAAGATTCAGCCTCCAGTTCCTGGGAATGTTCGAGATGGCATTGCTTCTGACATCAACTACCAGCTACCTACAAATTACCTTGCAGCAAACTGGGATCCGTTTGGAGAAATGAATGATTTGGACCCATCACAGAAAATTGAATACTATGAAGTGGCTGTAGGGAATGACAGAAGATATAAAGACAGGAGATCCAATGTTCATTTCTTTGAGAATGTTGGTCTCAACAGAAGTTATGTCTTTAAGCATTTAAATCTAACCGCAAAAACAGTAACATATTACATCACAGTGAGGGCATACAGTTCTGCTGGAAGTTATGAAGAATCTTTTTCAAATGGAATCCGAGTTGGATTTGGAACAGACATCGTGTCGGGAGATATCGAAGTTGCTGAGTACCAATCCAGCACCAGTGAAATACAAGTATCATGGTCTGACTTTATATCTGACTTTAACATTCGGAAATATGAAGTTGCTGTTGACACTGAAGAATACACAGAGTCAAATACAAGCTTGGAATGTCAGGCTATTGTCTTGCAGCCACTTGTGGCATTTGAGCCTGTCAACAAAGACACAATCAAAACCATAAAGGGTCTTCATTTAAATCATACGGAAGTTTACTTTGTCCTTGTCAAAGCTGAAGATGAGGCAGGGATATGCCGGATTGCATCCAGTAAAGCAATTACAATTGATACAACACCACCTGAACCAGGACAAGTGATCATTGATGGTGGACGGTCATCTGGTATTCTATATGCCACTCAACTGCACTCTGTACATATAAACATGACAGGATTTACAGATGAAGAAAGTTCCATAGATTACTACACGGTGGCATTATTAGGGGAACTTTTCTGCTCTGATTCAATGTCATTATCCCCCAAAGACAAAGACGTTTTACGTTCTGTTACTGTTTCAAATTCCGATGCCCACTTCAACGATCTCATGTTAGACACAACCAGGCCATACTATATACAGGTTACAGCAGCTAATAAGGCAAGTTTGAAGACGACTGTGACAAGTGAACCTATTTTAGCAGATTACAACCCTCCAGTTGCTGGAAACATAAAAATTGGGTCAGATTGGAGGTACAGTTCAAGGTCTTGGGGCGATACGAACCTGTTACAAGGCACAATTCTCATCAATACCAACATACACGATTCAACATGTCAAACTGAAAGAGAACTACTGAATAATGACTATAAAAAGGAAATAATGATTTTGGATGATGTCTTCCAATCGCACGCTGTTGATATTTTAGATAATAACCGTGTCAAGATATATGCACGACTTGACCCGTCGCTGCAACTGTTTGAAAAAGGAGGAGTCAAAACAAACCCAACGCTACTGACAGAAGGCAACTATTCATTTTCTCTTCAGGCTACAGCACGACACAACGTTTCATCTATGATAGGTCTGATTCAAGAAAGTCTTCCAAATCCTGATGATATCTTAATGGCTTATGCAAAGATATTTATAGATAATTGCAATGGCAGTGCATGTTCTAACGGCGACAGGACTGTAGTAACTGATGACGAGAGTTGGAACCTTGGCGTTCTCGTGACTATGAATAACATCTCAGAACCCATAATTCTGTTCTGGGCCAAGGATAAATCCAGAATCAAAGTTCATAATGTCCATGTAGACTTTGATCCAAGTTTCTCACTGAACGACTTTTCTCTTCAAGCAATAAATGATTCAACACCATCAACAGATTCGTGGGATATAAATCTATTCATCAACGGCCAGTTGAAGGGTCAACATGCTGGACTGAACATTCAAGGATACGTTGTCGCCTCTGTGTTCTCCTGGAACAATGATGGATATATTCCACAAGTGGATGATCCGTTTGACCCATTCACAACTAACCTACTCCTGTCATCACTGAGACTACCGCTCCCGCAAATACACCCATGTAGGTACGGACGGGCATTTTATGATTCACAGAGCGGGATCAAAGATATTTCCGTTGGTCTGTCAGATTCTCAGAACACAACTGCAAACATAGTACCTTATACGAAACAAATGTCATTTTGTGTTCCTTGCAAAGATCTTTGCAAAGAAAGTTGTGGATTTGAAGGTTCCTGTTCCAAGAGTACAGACCAACCGGGATTATCAGTAAGGCATTTCGAACTCAGCAACTTGACACTGATTCCCTCTCGGATGACTGATCGAATTAACTACACTGATTCCCAAGCCAGTGCCTACTATTTTGATGTGAAAGTAACTGATCATGCTGGTTATGAAAAACAAATCAAGTCTAACGCAATCATCATTGACACAACACCCCCAGTGGTGACTGATGTCACTTGCTTTGATCCGGAGTACTCGCTGTATGAACCTGCACTCTACATTGGAAATGATCATGCTGTCAGTGCTAAGTGGGAGATATCAGAGGATTTCAGTGACATCAACACTGTCTTTGTTGGAATCGGAACAAAATGTGGACTAGATGATATTGTTCAAATACCCCTTCAAAACAGACTGAAGAATGTAACACTGAATTCAACAAACGAAAGTCTTCAACAGGATCAAAAGTATTTTGTCGGCGTTACCGTAATAAATTCTGCTGGTCTCAACCACACTGCATGCTGTCCATTTGTCATTGATATTAAATCTCCCACAGTTTCCTCTACTGAACCAGTGCCACTGTTTGTCTCAGCAGACGATGTAGCCGGACTTAACGTTTCACTTACTGAGTACAATGATCGAGTTGGAATCCAGTGGGATGATCCTCATAATGATGTGGACTATTTTGGTGAGACAAATGCTGACTTATTGTTTCTTCTTTGTACCTAAATGCATATGTAATATTAGATGATACAGTGTCAAAGTTGGTACAGCTGAAATGCTCGATCACTTTGGGTTTTTTCCCTTTAAAAGTTTTGCTATTGGGTCGACTGGACAGGTGTTTTGAAATGCCGTACTTCTATCTATTTCGTACCTACGCTGGGATCCACCAGTCTCCGGTTTGAACCCAATACGTCTCCTGATTATGATCCTTGATTTGTCAACCTCAAACATTGTGCATGGTTCAAGGTTACCATCTATTTCGAATTTTAAAAACGTTTCATTTTCCCACAGCTATGCTTATGTCATTTAAATGATGTTCCAGACTGGCAGCTGGCGAGTGAGGATTCAGCAGACGAAATATATCCAACAATGCGAGTCGGTTCCAACACAACTCGACGTGTCGAGGTCCTGAAGGGAGATATAAGTCTTTCTCATGGCGCTGTCAACGCTTCAGTGTCTGAATTCCTTAACAGAAACTTCTCTGATGGTCTTAAGAGTGCCGACTTCAAGAATAGTCCTCTCATGCTGGAACCAGGCAAATGTGTCATCCAAACCGTGACTTCTGTCAGTAGAGCTCACAAGAGAAAGGATTTGACGTCACAGAAGACCTGCATTAAACGTAATGTCTTTCTTTAGGTGTATGTTGATATCTGTAACATATTTCAACACATTATTCAGCCTCTGCTGATTCCGGGTAATCAACCCGGATGGCTTATGGATTAATAGCATTCACTGGTTTGCCTAGTCCAGATTCAGTTATAAACAGCTTTTGCGAAAATATTGCTGAGAGGCATTACAAACAACATTTTATCGTTCATATTAAATGTGCAATCAGTTACTTATTTACTTATTATGATGTGACTTTTGTATTGTGCAGGCAAGAAAGACATGATTGTGAGACAGGGTACAAACAAAACACTTGTGATTGACGGCGTTGTCATCTCCGAGTTATTGGCAAAGCACAATCACTCTGTTTGCACAATATCGGTGGAAGGTAAGGTGATCAGATGATTAGACAGTAGCGTCAGTTCCGTCAAGCACAAACTCTGCAGTTAATACTAATGTATTTACATGGTTTGACCCGTCCTAAATTTCGAGACAATTACGGTATTTTTTCTGAATGTTGTGCAATATGTGCAATGTACCCATACTGTTGTGTAGTTTCCAGTGGCGCCCTAGCGGTCGGTGTATTGAGCAAGACCGATCAACACATGGCCTACGGTGCTCCAGCCGCCGTGGATTATTCCCCTTACATCGTCAGCCCCGACATCACCTCGACACAGCTGTCCCGGTTTCTCACTGGAAGGTGAAGTATTGTGTTTTTGTTTCTGAAGCAAGTGCCTGTACACATATCAGAATTGACAATGCACTGTATTTCTGTTCACATGAATCACGGGATATCAACACCACTTCTACAAAAATGTTCTCATCCGCAGTATGACATAGTGTAGCAAATAATCATTATTTAGATTTAGGCATGTTCATTTAATTTGTTTTTTCAGAGTCTACAATTTTGTTAGTCCTGCATTCTACCTGTCGCCGATCAGCAATGTACAACTAACAGAAGACATCAACGTTGATTTGCCAGCATCCCCAGCTAATGAACACCAGGAATCAGCGATCATTCTGTGGGACTCAGGTACAAATACGACTGTATAAAACATTTTAAGCATATCTGCGTTGTTTCGCATTTTGAAAGGAATGAGTTGGTATGGTGTTACGCCACTTTTAACTATATTCTCATTTTATGGCAGGACGGCCAAAATGGGCTGAAATATTTTACCAATGGGGAGTCGAAACCAGTTTTTTTGCGAATTCGATCATATCCACTAGGCTATCCTGCCGTCCCATTCTGAATATTGTTCATTATGATACTAATCGAGTTCCTTTCTGTACACAGGTGACAAGGTCTGGCGCCATGTCAGTGAAATCTGCGGTATTGTCCCTTTCAAGAGCCGCGCCACCACGCGTGATCCTCATGCAATACAGGTGAGTTATATATGTCGGTATGCACTGGTGCATATATATATATCTGTTTGGGCACCTTATGGTATTTATGTCGAGGCCAATATACCATCTGCTCCAATTTATGTCTCCTACGTGTCTCAGTTGGTTCATTACATTTTAGAACGTGCATATTATATGCAAGGAAAGACTCAATCTTCTTACTAAAAAATATAAACATGAAGAATGAAAACGTATGGCTTCACGTCAAATTTTATACCATATGGGTAGGATAAAGCAAAGGAATGTGTTATGCAGGTTGGTGCTATTTTCAGTATTCAAAAACATGCCGTTGCCGTTGTCTGTTGGCTTTTGAGTCAGAGTTCACCATCGGGAATAGGGAAAATTACTCGGACAATAGTCATTTTTTAACAAAAGCTGTTTAACAGCGAGGTATTTGTAACCGTAAGGTACACTGGATCCAGATTGCGCGCCGTAATCGCTACTTTATTTTTTGCTGAACTTACTGTAGTTTAGGCTGTGTTGAAACTGGACCTTTTTGAGGGATGTCATGTACTGTTTGATATCGATCTGCACGTGTGATAACCTCTATCAGATCTGTCTTTACCAATGTACCTTTAGGTTTTCGGGCACATTATCATGCTATAACGCATGTGGTATACTGTTTAAATCTCCCCTTTATGACTATGATAGTATTGATAAGTGGCGGATGTAAATTGCCTATGCCGATCACCTAATCATAATGAACATATCACTTTGTTTTCAGATCTGCAATTTAGTATTTAAGAGAAGCTTGACAAAATCAAATACACGTGAGAAGAGGGCAACTCATCCTTTCTCGAGCCCAAGAATGTTTTCCGGAGCAATTGTGTCTAAACATGTGAACAATACACCTCCCATCATTGACACCAGTGTTATCCGATGTGTCGAGGACAGCTTTGTGGAGCAAGTCATCAAGTACCACGATCTGCAGCATGACAATTTAACATTTACATTAGAAGAGCATCCTCATCACGGTGAAGCCAACCTCACAGCAGAGGGAATGCTATCCTACCAACCAGAGAAAGATTTTAATGGCTATGATAGTATTCTCGTAAATGCAACCGAGGTATTCATACTTGATCTGGGAATACAACCAGCTACATTTACCAAGAGAATACACATCAACGTGTCAAATGTTAATGATCCACCTGTCACTTTCTACCAGAGGGACACCCAGTCACCAATACCATCATTGGTTGAAAGTATTCACAAGGTATATGTTGAAGGCAATCTAACGGATCACTCTCTGGGTTCGTTTTGGGTCGCAGATGTTGATGACCCTGAAGATTTGACAATCATTCAAAATAATGTAAGTGGTCTGGCAGCCAACTTTACACTTACACAGGTTGATGCGGCTGGGGAAGATGGAGAGACATACAGAAACATGTCCATGATCTACACAGGGAACACTATCACCAAACATGACCTGAAGCTGAAGACCCTCAAGGAATTCCACGGGAGCATCCAGTTCTCACTGCTCGCTGTTGATGCGAATGAGAGCTACAGCCACGCCCTGTCCATCCACGTGTTTGTCCTCATCAACCCATGTTACCATGGTAGCTGTGCTCCAAGAAACCCGTCTTTACCATGTGAACATCCAGGCAGAGAAAGCAGCTTTCAGGCCTATCACTGTGAATGTGTAGCTGGTTATGAAGGACAGTTCTGCGAGAAGGAAATCAACGAATGTCTGAAGGCCACCTGCTCCCTTCTGTATGATTGCGAAGACAAACTAGCAACCTATGACTGTGTCCTGAACATCCCGAAGATTCTTGCTATACTTGTCTGCTTTCTTCTGCCCTGCTTAGGTGTTACCTTTTACATAAGTCGCAAGTACAAACAAATTAAACGCCGATCAAAGGTCTGGTAAGTAGCATTTTCACTTTTACTTTAGCTTTTCTTTTAAATTATCGCAATAGACATGATAATATCTGATTTTGGTTTTTTGTCTGATTAGGCAGATCCGACAGTCATATTTTGTTTATAGTTTGTTTTTACATGTTGCATACTTCACATTAATAGTATCTCAATACGTGTCTAAATGTGCGTTTTTTGTGGCGTCGATATTTAAGGTGTACATTTTTGTTTGAAGGAATTTGCCAGACAACACTCCAGATACACAGACGAATCCTGTATACCTAGCAAGATACACATCCACCACGGAAGAAGTAAAGCAGGAGACGACTTCCGGGTCGCCTTTCAGCAAGAAAGAAGTAATTCAGGACAAGAAACCTGCTGCTTTTCAAGAGAATGGCAGAAGCACGCCTGCCTCGTTCATGGGTCCAGGACACGCACGCATGCCTCACAGGAAAGCAAACTACTCCACCCAGTGGAGCTCAGATAAAACCCTTCCTAGAGTTGTTGATTGAAGCAACAGTATCCAAAGTGTCGAATTTTGCAGTGTTTGCAGTGTAGATGTTCTAATAAAGGCTAGGCTTCTTTTGTAACTCATATTAGAGGAACCCGTATTGGCCTTTGTGTGAACTTTAACATTTCTAGTATCAGTATTCGAGTATTTACTTCAGATACTAATAATGCGAGTGTGTGTCTTTGAGTTAACGCTATCCATATTTCGAAATATTTTATATATGTATCTGAAATGGAAACCATCTAAGACACGAAATATATTTCATTAAGAAATAAAACATCTATATGGACAATTTGAAAGTGTTAAAATTAAAGCTATTGATAACCTGTATATGGATAAAGACTTACTTAAGGTCATATTTATAATGTCCATGAGAACCAAGATTGCTCAGATTGCCCTATGTATATTGAGATGAGTGTGAAGATGTACAAAATATAATCCCACCATTGCTAGAAATTGTTCATAACACATATTGCCTTTTTGCAGATTGAACCCGTGTTTGACAAAATGCTGTTGATAATATTGATTTGAGTTATCTATATAATTATATTAGTTGTCAACAAAACCGTGTGGGTGCCAATCTGACCCTAAGGTTTAACTCAATAAATATTGATATCGCCTTCTTTGTTATTATCTTGATTTGATACCGAGCATGGTTATAATCACCACTTGTTTTAATAGGCTACCATTACTATTAGATCATGCAATGTTATTTTTCTAGAAAAGACTGTTACCAGAGATCTATAACCAACTTCTGTAGAAGGATGGACTGACGGAGAATCGTACAAAAACTGATTAAATGTAATCAGTCCTAGCACATCCATAAGTGGCTATTCAACATTGCCAGCATCAAATTGAATATTCAGCTTGAACTGAGGGAGACATACGCTACCTTTATTACAATCAATAGCAATGACTTGTAACAATTGCATACAGTTTAATTTATCTGAAAGAGCATCATCGTTTTTCCACTACATTCTTCTTGTAGTCCAAGAGGAGTTTCCACATATAAGTACTTAAATTGGCCAAATATTTGGCTGGGTATCTTGCAAAAAATCTGCAACAACAAAAGAACTCCATTGTCTTGCTCTCTTTTTGTTGGTAGACAGTGACACAAACAATCGAGGGTCATTATATTTCAAGGTCAGACAGTCAACACAGAATGTGCGCTTACGTTTAAAACGAAATATGAACAGAATTTCTGCTGATCTTTCATCTTATTTTCTGCTTAGTGGATTTCGGCTAAATCTTCCTACCATCGCCAGCGGCTGAAGGGATGGTGTAAATCCACCTAGGGTCCATGCAGGTAACCAAAGTACTCTAAGTCCCCATGGTTCCTAGTATGGTGATCTACCTTCAGTTGTTGGCGATCTATAGCCTGTTTATATATTGTATTGTCCTCTATAGTTAAAGTATTTTCTAACTAGTTTTAAATATATCTATCTGTGATAATCTAGTTGGTTTTACTGTCCTTTGTCGGCAGATATTTTAAAATGATTACCTTGTTTTCATCGCTATATGGCTGAAATATTGCCGATGCGATGTAAAATTTTAATTCACTCACTCACTGCTTATTGGAGCTATACAGCAGAACTTAATGCTTGAGTGCGGATATACGTTGCGTTTAGCATTATTACGATTATGTGTTAGCATGATTTTGGACGAAAGCCTCACTCACTGACTCACGCACGACTAATTAACGTCTGATGGTCATAAACTGCTCTTGTATAATATACACGTTTGTTCAAAAATGTTGATTCCCAGTATGAGATGAAGCTGATTTCTCAAGTCTTATGTTATATGTATTTATTATGAATTTAGAACTAGTTTTAGTCACGATATGGCTGAAATATTGCCGATGTGAAAATCTCACTCACTAACTCACTCAAGTCTTATGATTACGTAACAGGAGAGATCCGCCTTCTCTTGTGAATTAATTGTATTCGATCTTCTAGTCAGGGCGATATAGCGATGGCCCGAATCAGCCGCCATACCAAGGACTGTTCGTCATTCGATTTCTCGGAAATCTATATTCTCCGGGAACGGTGACTGCGGCTGAATATACTCTTCTTTTGACATGATCTGAACACTCATCTTTCAGTTGCAAACGCCGTGAAAAGAAATTCAATGGATATTTTTTCCCACCCGTGCGTGTAGAGGTTCCTTTCAACTTTCGTTCACAATCAATGCTATGCATGAATATTTTACGCAAGTCTGTGTATATGGATCGGTAACGTCTCATTATGTAATGTTTGTACCTACAACACTTGATCCACAGGGCCAGACCAAGCGGCGTCTTACCTAAACGTTGACCCCTAGGGTTGAGGGTAAAAATCCTTTGATGTGATATGTTGTTTTAGCGTTGTTGCTTCAAGGGATTAAAGGCTGGGTGTCACCCAAAGTTGAATTCAGGTGCGAAAAGTGATCAACAATTTAAGTATGAGATCTGTTCACCTACTGGAATATTATTATTTAGTGAGTTCACTCAATGCCACTTATTTAGTGAGTTCACTCGATGCCACTTATTAATTCAATCATATCACACATGTAAGGCAGCATGATATCTCAAACATCATTTCCATCATGGCAAATGCACAGCTTGATCACTACTTTCTTATAATAAATGTGCATTTATAATGCGCGCAATCCAGACAGATATGCCTGCTCAAGGCGCTACAAGGGGACTGTATAAAGATAAAAGTCAGGGAGTGTTGACTGGATTTAAATGTTACTATGATACTTGGAGAACATATGGGTTTGAATTGAATTTCTCAAAGGTTGGACACAGTTTCAACTCTGATGGAAGTGAGTTCCAGAGGATAGGGGCAGTGCTGGAGAAAGATCTGGAGCCAAATGTCTTGAGTCGAAATTTAGGAACTTGGAGAAGATTTTGGTCACTTGATCGGAGTTTACGTGCTGGAGTGTATGGAGTCACGAGTTCAGATAGATAGTCAGGGCTGGTGTTGTGGAGGCATCGATAGGTGATACAGAGAAGCTTGAACTCTTCCTACTTCTTGGGGTGGTAGATACCTGTGTATGGAGGGATATATGTATAGAATAAGCAAGAGGAAGACCGGAGGCTGGGTTTCTTAATTCTACGATCAATGACATTCTTTCGAAACAGCCACCAGCGCACAAAGATGACTCGACTGAAATGAATAAACACATATAATGTAGATTTATTAAGTCATTATAATTATAAATGAGGGATGGCACGGCAGGGTTTACTCCCATTAGTTAGACATCCCAACTGTCAAACACTGGACTCGAGATTAATTAGGGCAGCACCCATATATAAATGAGAATGTCCCAATTGGATATTCTAACCAGTTAGTTGAACCTAACGAAAAACTGTTATTGTGTATAAATATCTTGAATTTATTTTTGATCAAATTATCTATATCAAAATCAATTTTGTACGTGAAGTCTATTGATACTGTTTAAATATTATAATTCCATTAGTGCTTTACTGTTCACAAATGACAAATGCTAATTTCGCTCAAATTTGTACATGAAGTGTTTTTGGTAAATGTTATAATTCCATTTACAATTTAGTGCTTTACTGTTCATAAATGACTAAATGCTGAATCCGCTATTTTGTCGTTCCTGATTTCTGTATAACCCATGTGACTATAACAACATTTTAATCCCATTGTATCCAGTCAGTGGTGCGTGGACACTGTCGGCTCCTCCCTTGCCAGTTTGTTTTGACACGCTTTAGAAGGTTGACGTTTTGTTAATGAACCGACCACGCAACCCGCCAAGATCATCGACAGCTAGATTGCACGGCAACAGTCTATTTGTGTCAGTATATTTATACTAAGGTTTCTTTAAACAGTGATACATGAAGAGTTAAAGAGCATATTTGGTTGATTCCTATATTTACACGGGATATACAATTTACGAGCATCGTTAAACTACGTACATTATTAATACAATGGTATTTATCACCAATATCGTTCATTTGACACGATTTCCAAATATGATCACTAAATGGAGTGCTGTTCCATCTCCCTGTTTCATTTGGCAAGCGCCGACAAGCTGTTCGAGGGAAGAATATCTTAGGCGCGGAAAGGAAAGGAACATAAACAACCTCGCCCTGTTCTATTTATATACTTGTTTCACAGGTCTGTTGTCAATACCAGATCAACCTGTTTAAGTCACATGGTGTAAGTCACAAGCCTCAGTGAACAACGCGTGCATGTGAAAACATGAGGTATGCTAGCCAAAAAGAAACTGTGAGCATAGGAAATTGACTATATATTAGAACTACAAGTGTACAGAAATACGGATGTAAATGCAGTAATTAGTGAAACGAATTGAAAATATGCATGTGCTCCTTTTCTTGAATGTGTGGTTTCTGCACGGACAGGCGCAACACGTTTGTGCATGTGCATTTCGATAAACGAGAAAGTCAGGTGACTGCGCATTTCCATTGCGACCGAAACACCATTTCAGCAATACAAAGACATCATCAGAACAGTAATGAAATTACCGATCGGTCAAGTGGAGGACGTTCTCGAGTCGCCCAGACTAGAAAGAAAGATGCGGGTAACTCATCTCCGGTAGAAATTCCAGACTGAACTGACCTTTTCTCAGACCATTCCCGCCTATCCACCCCAACACGTCAGTACGGGATACGACCACGTCGTCCCGTCATGCGACCTACCTTTTCATCCGTCAACCTCGGTTGTGGTGAAGGACTGTCGTTTCCACAGACGTGTCCAGATGTAGCACATTCAGTAATGACCCACGTCGGCGTGTCTACAAATTTGTGTTATGGGTGTGTTACTGTGTGGGGAGGAATGTGTGGGCAGGAGAGAAAACTACTTGTTATCGTTAACGATAATTGGACAGCTCAGTGTTTTACAGATGACTTTTTCGCCCAATTTTCCAGCGAGGTTGAGGTGACGGGATCGAGCCAACCTGTGACCGGTTATAAAACCTTGGAGTCATCATTATGTGCAGACTCTTTCAGTGTTGTCAAAACCCCTAGTGTACAGTACACAACCCCGTGGATCCGTTGTTATATGACCAGATGGTGGCCACATGAATACGTGCAAACACCTAGTTGCGGGTACAGCAACGTGCAGTGAACTTGGACTAAGTACTGTGACTATGTGCCCAGTCTGCCCAGCTGTGAATGGGTACCTGGTAAGGATGGGAAAGACTCACTAACTCGGTGCGCCTAGTGGCTGCAAGAATTGTATGATCCCCATGGAGTTGAGATTGATAATACGACTTTGAGATTGACATCCAGTGATCGAGGGAAAAACAAAGCACCTTTGAGTGGCTGAGCTGGATATCGGCGCTATACAAATGGATGGATGGATGCATGCATGTATGTATGTATGTCACGAATTTTCAACGTATAGCTGTGGCCTCTTTGAACAAAAGACATGTCCCATATAGAATACTCTAGGATGTCGGGGATCGTTGTGTTGGAGAGCATCACCCGAGGCCCATATGACACGTTCGAAATGTGCGTGTCATAGGGCTGTCAAATTTGAATTTCTTTGATAGGTCAAGAAAAGCCTTTAAAAAGGCAACGTTGGAGGCACCTGGGTAAATTCAGAAATGTAGCGAGAAGGACATGCGATCATGATCATTTGAGGGGTGAAGCTGATTTCACGATGACCATACCTCCGTCTATTGGAGAGTTGCTTTTATTAGAGATGAGTACTCGCATCGCAAATACGGTACTCCAGTATATGACATTTCATATCAAAGGTCTATTCATGTCCTCTTGAGGATACAGCCACTAATAATCTCGGTTGCTAATTTATTCTACCGATTATAAATTGTCATTGATTTACAAAACATATTCATCGACATTGTTCAATATATTCTATTTCCTTCAAACATCCAATGGTGAAATGAAAATTGACATTAGTAAAAAGGTCCCTCGATAAAGCTTTGAAATATTTATCCCTTGTGATGGAAAAAGTAATACAGTCAAGCAGGACATAGTTGACTGTGATTCTTTCATCACAAGGGATACAGAATTCAGCATCCTCATCGTTTCTTAAATATCCACGAGCATATCGTGAATGGCCAATACGACATCATCTTAATATGACCTCTTCAATGTGTTTTTGAATCACTATTAAAAATGTGATGATACCCGGTGTTCGCGAAGAGGTTTAGCATGCCCTGCCAGACCAGTAACACCCACCATCTGTTTGCCAAATGTTCCGCAACATGAAAGTATTTTTGCCTGACGCTGTACAGCAGTTCCTCCATACGACGGCGTCCTGTACGACGGGAGCTGTGCCAGTTTACACTTATCAGAAGTTAGCACAAATTCCGTGGTCTAGACTACCATTTTTCTGGAAGCTACAGTGGCTGAGTGGGTTAGACGGCTGACGTTGTGTGCCTGTCTCTTACAGTGTGGGTTCGAATTCCGGGATGGGTCTCAACCCAACAAAGTTACTAGAATCTGTGCTTTACTGAGAAAGTGTAATCCCAAATATAACCTGTGGCGTGAGGACTGTCCCGTATCCGGTTAGTCTAAAAAAAAGCAAATACGTATGCCGATCTGACATGTCCTGCAACGCCAAGGAATAAACCATTTTAGAAAATAGAGTGCATCAGGCAAACTGGTCATGAACCACTGAGGGAGCAGGCTTTAAATCCCTCGGGTGAAGGCGCAGTCATCATTACCAATTCGCTTACGTATCCGGGTCTTATAAACAATTTCAACATTTCTGAACAAATTCAAAATAGTACAAACAAATCTCCATAAAAATATTTGAAGTCATTAATAACCTTGTTATTGTGCACTTTGGTTTTATTGTATACATCACCCACCTATAACTTACTGTATATCACTACCCGTGAAGGTCCGGGTTAGAATGAATCTTCAGTAACCCATGCTTGTCGTAAGAGGCGACTAACGGGATCGGGTGGTCAGACTCGCAGGCTTGGTTGACACATGTCATCGGTTCCCAATTGCGCAGTTCGATGCTCATGCTGTTGATCACTGGATTGTCTGGTCCATATTTGATTATTTACAGACTGCCGCCATGTAGCTGGAATATTGCTGAGTGCGGCGTAAAACTACACTCACACACTCGCTCACTGTATATCACTGTCAGTTTTCATTCACACAAACCAGTCCGTGCCATGCATTATCTGAAAAGCTTAACAGATACCGTGGGCATATATTTTTAGTTTTACGCTCGATTTTAAATACAACTGAAAACGTAAAACAAAAACTCCAACTTCTAACTCCAACGAGCAAAACTCAACGAAAAGCTCTCGCCTATATCATAAAAATGTGTTCATAATAATCAGAAGGCACAATGACATATGACATTAATTATTGGTTAATAAAAGGGTTGATTATGTTGGTGATATATTACAACTAAATAAAATCAATGGCTGACAAGTTTCTGTTGTTCATTAAGCTGCGGATGCTGGTAGATACAAGTGTGAAGAAATGCCAAATGCATCACCCACTGACTACATTGTAAGTATTAAACGTTCACATTTAGCTGTCTTTTCCATAAATTATCTCTATAACAAACTCAAGATTGAAATAATGTTGTTGATAAAATCTGAACCTACTTTAAGTATGTGACAACCTGTACTCCAGAAAGCTATGCCCACAAAATGTAGTTGTTATGGTAACATATAAACCTAAAGTGTGCTTCTCACTATATGTTAAGAATCTCTTCTTTTCCCGGAATAACCGCATTTGAGGTTTTTGTTTGCTCTTAGGTTTTACTTTTTGTAAGTAAGACCCTTCCCAGGTTTTACTTTTTGCAAGTAAGACCTCTTCCCAGGGTTTACGTTTTGTAAGTAAGATTTTTTCCCAGGTTTTATTTTTTCCTAACTCTATATCAACATCAACATTCAAATGATATATGAGTGTTTGAAATCAATTGAGAAATATCGTCCAAGATCAATTTCAAAGTGCAAATGTTTTCCAAAGCAGGATTTGAAACGCATCTATCAGGTTAGTAAGCGGACGCTCTACCTCACGGCCACTGTGCCAACGAAGACGTTGGTGTTGAATTATCTATGTATAGTTACTGTCATTAAATTTATTTTACTTGCGCTTCAGTTATTGTTATGTAGCTTCACTTATTGATCATCTACATTGCAATTATCCATCATTGACGGTTTATATGTTAGGGAAAACACTTCCCCTTCGGTTTTGGTAGAGGATGTAAAACCTTGGGATTTCCCTCCTCCCTCGGTTTTACATTCTCTACCAACACCCCCGGGGAGTGTTTCTCCTATACATAGTAATCAAGGTGGATATTCCAATATCTATCAAATTCATGGGTTTTAAAACATAAGTATGCTTTTTGCAGAATCAGAACCAACAGCAGCATGAGCTTTTCCCCGAGGACTTTACCGGATACAGATTTTTGGTGCTGACGAGAAGTAATGATAACACAAGCTGTAGTGTGAGTGTTGTTTATGTATAAAGATTGAGTCGATAGACGTGTAACTATTACTGGAGAGTGAGGGCACAACCTACAGGACATGTCCTGTTATATCAGTATTACACTATCTTAATGAAATAATATCACCTTTGTTGCAGCTGCTGCGTATGTACATTGAGGGAGTGAGAGGGTCAGCATCTGGGATATGTCTTCATCCCTCTAGGCCAGCCTTGTGGATGCCTGGGAAAACTGGAGATGACATTACAGCACAGATAGGAAATATCAAATTGATATTATTCGAGGTAATTATAACCAACTATATGTTTCCTGTTTAACATATAACCCATCTCATATCGGTGCAACTCACAACCCTGCAATTTTCATGTATTAATTCGTTGTCACCTATGTAACACATAGAACTTAATACTTCTGTCTGGCTCTTAAAGTTTATATGATATTTCGGGCAGCAAATTCGTACTTGTTCTGCACTTAAAATAGTCGTAGTTACAGATCGTGCCATTTCTCTCTTCCATTTTATCCTGCCGACATATAATGCGGGTGGTATCATCAACGCCTCGTATGTCTGTCCGTCCGACTGTCCGTACTCATTTCGTTTCCAAAGCAAAACTCAACAAAACTTGGCAAAAATATCCAAAAGACCCTGAATTGGTGCCTTTTGCTACGTGCCCATTTTGGCTTTTTGGTTGTTTTTTTCTTGATTTATATGGAAAACAATATGGTTTCAAAAGGAGTGGTGGATTTCGTTTCCGAAGCACAACTTGAAAACCATGAAAGATTTTTCACGGTGCCTTGTGATACTCGGTTTGCTAAAAACTTATGTTTTGTCCGTTTCCATGGCTGAAAGTTTGATTTTAACTGTTCATAGTGTTAGGTTTGTCAGAAAGAGTACTGGAGATTCTTTCATGAAACTGTGCACAAACAAAAACCAGGTTGTAAACTTTTGATATGAGTGATTATGTTAATTTGTATTGTTCGTTTGAGTGAGTGAGAATTTAACGTCACCTCGGCAGTATTTCATCCATATAGTGACGAGTGAGTGAGTGAGTATGGTTTAACGCCGCTTTTAGCAATGTTCCAACAATATCACGGCGAGGGACATCAGAAATGGGCTTCACACATTGTACCCATGTGGGGAATCGAACCCGGGTCTTCGGCGTGAAGAGCTAACGCTTTAACCACTAGGCTACCCCATCTCCCCATATATATATAAAGTGACGAGGAAGGTTTTTCATACACAATAAATATACGTTGTTAAATAATCAGTCATCGAAGGACTGTAAGATTACTAGAGTATCACAGATGGAGTCTAAAACTAGCATGGAAATCTAAAACTATTTTATTTACGAAGACACTACAATATAAAAACAGACTATAGATCGCCAACAACCGAAGGTGGATCACTAGACTAGAGACCAGGGGACTTACAGTGCTTTTGCTACAGGCATGGACCCTAGTTGGATTTACACCATCCCTTTAGCCACTGGTGACTGTAGAAAAAGTTTACCCAACTATTGTTCCCTTGACCTAGACATTGGTGCGTACCTGACATAGAAGTACAAAATTACGAATCTCCTTACAATGTTATTGTTTTGATAGCTCAATGGCCCCTAGTATGGTGATCCTCCTTCAGTTGTTTGCGATCAATAGCCCATTTTTTACGTTGTATTGTCCAAAAATAGTTTTCTACTTTGAAAGATATATGGTAGCTATACTGAGTCAAAAAAGAAACTTAACATTCTTTCTTCAGGGCACTATAAAAGAACAAGAGATGGTAAGATGGTTAAATTGTTATTTTTTCATTCCTGATATCTGTGTTATGTACTCGATACACTGACAGTGCCATAATCAGTTCCATTAGGCTACACCAACGTTCCAAAACATGGGTATACAGAATGTCAAGTCACAAGAATAAAAATGCGAAATTTCTCAGTTCAATATCGTGTATGGCCGCCCCGCGCATTCACCACTGCCAAACACCTTCTCCTCATCGACTGCCTGATGCTTGTGAACACGTGGTTGGGGATTCTGCGCCATTGCTCTTGCAAGGCAGCGCTAAATTCCTTCAAATTCTGAGGTTGGTTCCTAAGACCACGAAGCCTTCTCGCAAGAGCATCCCAAACGTGCTCTATTGGATTAAGGTCAAGGGACCTCGATGGCCAGTCCATGACGTTGATTCCAGCGTTTTGAAGGAAATTTCGTGTCAACATCGCGGTATGCGGCCGAGCATTATCATGCTGGAACTGTAAACCTGGGCCATGAGCCGCCATGAAAGGAACGAGTTCAGGGGGTGAGCACCTGGTCGCGGTAAGCAGCAGCTGTGAGGTTTCCACGGATGATCAGAAGTCGGGAACGGTTGTTCCCACAGAAAGCACCCCACACCATGCAACTTCCGCCCCCGAATCTGTCGACTTCCTGTACACAACATTTGGCATACCGTTCACGACAGTCGTTTCCAGACTCTATGCCTGCCGTCCGCGAATCTGAGGGTAAACCTGGATTCATCGCTAAAGACGACTCGATTCCAGTCACTCTGGGTCCATCGGAGGTGACGTCGAGAATGGAGATTGGCAGCCCGCAATCGATTTCGAATGGTCTGTGAGGACAGTCGACCTCTAAACATCTCAGCCTTGGTCCGTGTAGCCGGCAGAAATCTGTCACGTGGGTGACGTAGGACGATTTGACGTTCTTCTGCTCGTGACGTCACACGTGGACGACCCGACCTTGGGCGATCAGAAGTGGTGCCAGTTCGTTGTAGACAGTACGACGGCTGCATCCCATTGCTCTTGCGACGTCAATAACTGATCTTCCCGCTTGCAACATGCCAACGGCACGTTCACGTTGCACATTTGACAATCGTGACATTTCAAGTACCGTTAGAAGTGTGGTTTAAAAGTGTTTTTTCAATTCTTGAAGCCAATGCAAACACGTGCATATGGAGAAAACTTCGATGCGAAGATCACGTGATCGACTGCACGTGCAAAACCTTGCACGACGAATGGATGGGTTTGAGTGGGTTTTGCTAACGTTTTTCTAGAGTGGAAAGATAGGGATCCCATTTCGGATACATAGATGTATCATCAGAGAAAAAATATTCATTATTTTTCAAATTACATTTTGTGAAGTTTTTTTTGACTCAGTATAGTTTTAACTCATTTTGTGATATTCAAGTAAGTTTATTGTCCTTCGTTGACAGGGTTTTATATATTTTATGTATGCATTATGATATAGTCATGATATGGCTTAAATATTGCCGATGTGGCTTTGACTCACTCACTTTGATAGCTCAATAACTACTCGTGCATACGGACGGACAGATTAGACACAAATTCTCTCATCGAGTTGGACTTTAAGTAACTGTCAGATCATTTGTTCTGTCAACTTTGTCATCTTCTGATGACTCTTGTTTTGTGACTGAAAGTATGCTTGTTTCAACTTAAGCCGGATACAGGTTGTGCCTGGCGACCAGCTGGAGTAACAGTGACAAACATCCACTCGTCACGAAGTCAATATTTCTCCTGTGCCCAGTCGGTTCAGGAGTCAGGACGGACCATGAGGAGGGTTCGAGAAGCTTTCACTAGAAGTATGTTGAACATTTGAATTGTGTAATGTGTAATTGTATATCAGCTGATATTCGGTGGTATTAAAACGCATGACGCACTGAAGATGAATGAATAACTAGACAAATATACATTGAAACACACAGCTTAAGGTTTACAACCACGATGCGTCCTAACTTTGGCAGCAGCAGTACGTAACAGGTCCTGTTATACATGTCTGTGCAGTTTCAAATGCTGTAAAGTCAATACCGAATATATCGTTCTTGAATACGGAATTATGTTGAGAGCTAGCAAGCAAGCGATGTTTACGGCCATGCAGTAAAAGGCACTGGATCGCTCTCACCCAGATCAACATAGGTGCGGCAAGGGTTCTAGAACTAATCACCTTTTAAAACATGACTACTACTTATGTAGTGTTCTGAAAATGATGTAGGAAGATACCTCTTTTTACTATGGCTACGAGACAAATTTATGAGAACTTCATTCACATGCTGCCATTTACAATATTCTCTACCTCTATTCTGCAACATAACATGATTTTCTACATATACGTATCTGTAAGTTAGGGGGCGAGGGCCGTGTTGGATGGTGAAGAATGGTGAAAGGGTGTGATTATGTACTAGTATTCACTTGTTAAATTAGTCCCTGTATTCCAGTTCTACCAATCGTTTCACAGGACTCACAGTAACAGTTTACACAACCGACAGAATTTTTGCTGGCACGGACTCTGGCTTGTTTTTGCGGGTGCAGGGTCGGACCGGAGGGGGCAGTGAAAAGCAACTCTCTGGGTCGTTTGAAAGAAATGATGTTGATAGGACTGTTATGGACGTTGGGGATATCGGTCGACTCTATGAAGTGAGGTGTGTAAACTGATTTTTACACTTTCTCAGTGGGAGCCGGAGCAATTTATACTTATCCGGGGTTAGTCTAAATTTAAAATTTGTTACATTTGGCCACTTTCTAAATAGCATTGTGTATTCATAGCTTTCGGCCGTGGGAGCCGTGTCAATTTACACTCATGGGAGGGGTACGCAGTCAAGATAACCAGTTGTCCGACTTCCATTTTTTTGGAAGCTGTGGTGGGTGAGTTCGTTAAGCGGCTGGCTTTGTGTACTGGCAATTAGGTGCCTGAATCTGAGGGTGTGGGTTCGAATCCCGGATGGTACTCAACAAAAAAGTACTAGAATCTGTACTTTACTGAGAAAGTGTAATCCCAAATATGACATTTGTTACATTTAACCACTTTCTAAATGGCAATGCGTATTTTTATTTGTGAACAATGTTTAATGTTAAAAGTGTTTAATAATGTGCTTAAATCTGTTATTGGTAAAATGTTGTGATGAATACATTTAACGATATTGCAGAATACGAACTATCTCAGTTGGTTTAATTAGGATAATTGTATGTACTTTTTCATAGGCATATTTTAATTGATACACTTAATGCAGGTAAACTTTACTTGTTACAGAATACGCTCAGACGACAGAGGTTTCAATTCCGGTTGGCATCTTAAAAGGGTCAGCATCTCCTGCTTGACTGTGTTGAATTCTCCAGGATAAATATGTCAATGTTAAAACTGTAAAGGGTCTTTTTAATACTGTTCATTTTCATTTAATTCTTGTTTGTTTTTAACAAGAAATTGATTTAATTAATGAATTTTGATTAATATGTTCTGTAGATAGATGTATTTTAGGGTTAAAGTAGTGTAAAAGTTATTGTCCCCCTGAGAGGGTACGTAATTCAAAGTAATTCTAAACCTACTACCATTTTAGTCGTAGAATATATGTTCGTTTAATTTGTGGCTAGATTAGGTAACATGAGAACCAACTTTATATGCATATTACGTGTGTGTGTGTGTGGTGTGCGTGCGTGTGTGTGCACATCACTAATACTCAGTGATCCAGTCACATACCTGTCACTATTGTTAATCTGGATGAAACTTTTTGGCAGATAACTGAGACTGGTTATTCTCTGTCATTGGCGTGTGGTATTTATAAACAATGTTTATTCCTGTGGTTGTAGATTGAAATCCATGAAGATGACAGTACAGTTGTATTTCAATGCAACTGTTGGATTGGCGGAGGGGACCCGCTGGAGAGAAGTATCAGTGTCAAGAGTGGTAAGTGGTATCAGATAGTCTTAATAATGACTTTTTGTGAAAAATATAAGCAAAATATTGTTTTACACCCTTTCTGATTGTATCACAGAGTGTGCAAACATCGAGTACTGTCGCAGTCAACGGTGCATTACCTGCGCAGCATGCCTTCCTTCAGATTCAGATTCAAGCTACTTTTATGCACTCAACAGTTCCAAAAGACAGTGTTATCGTAAGTACTCCAACCGACATATGTAACAGTTTGCATATAGAAAAAGCATTGGTTTACTTTCACTAAGTGCGCACATAATTACATAGAATGGTTACATCCAAGCAAGAATAACAGTCCAGCGATGGTAGATTACTCTCTTCTAATGTGTACGGTTCTCAGTGTCCTTCCGTTAAACAGTTTCCCTTAATTTAAATTACTTGTGTACGGTGTCAAGCCATAATAAGTGTCATCATAATAAATATTATTAGAATACTTTAAAAACTAAATGGGGAGGGGATCAAGCTACCCTCCTACACATTATTGGTGCGTTCAAAACTTGATTAGGGCTCCATTGTATATGGTGGAGACTGCAAAGGCAGTCTTAAAATTCTTCATTCTGTCCACCACCAAGGTCTAAAACTTTGTCTTGGATCCTTTAGAACTTCTCCCGATGAGCCATCTCTTACACAACGCTGTATAAAACCATCTTTACGATATATTACAAAACTATATTCTAACGAATGGAACCCTGTATATAACTGTGTGTTCAATCCCCTCTATGAGGATTTATACTATAAGAAGTCTTCTCTTGTTCCGCCTCTAGGGCTAAGAATTAAACCATTTATGTCGGCCGCCGGCATTGAGCTGGAAGATATATCACCTTCCCGTCATCTTTCTTCTCCTCCTCGGCAATTAGTGAGGCCACAAGCTGACCTCACAGTGACAAAGTTTAAAAAGTCAGAAACCAATGAATTACAACATAAAAAGGAATTTGATTATCTATTAAAAAGTTATATAATACATACAAATCCATATTTACAGGTGGGTCCAAGGATAGTACCGCAATTGCTTGTGCCACTGTCATTTGAACCAGAACAATATCTTCTCGATTACCAGATCACAGCTCAATTGTCACAGCTGAAGCCAGCGCCATATTGACAGCCTTAAAATATATTAATTAACACCCTAAAGACAAACAATATATCATCTTTTCAGATTCTCTTTCTTGCCTTCATGCTATAAAAAATCGCTCTTGTAAACATCCACTTTTAATCGAAATAAATGAATTGTATAATGATCTTGCGACTGGCCAATTCGACATCGTCCTCTGTTGGTTACCCAGCCATGTTAGAATCTCTGGTTACACTCAACAAATCTGTGACACCACTTCTCATTCCATACTCCGATTACAAAGCTACCATTAGATTATATATCCGTGATCTCAAGCAAATGGAGTGGGACACCCAGGTAGGCGTCAATAAACTACCACAATGCGACTACCATCGGATACACCTACTTGGGTAGTCAGTCCAGATTTATACAATTCAATAATTTCAATTAAAAGTGAATGTTTGCCACGCAAACGTTTAAAAGCCTGAAGGTACGAACGAGAGTCAGAAATCACAATTTGTCAGCGATTCTTATGATATATGTGCAATTGCTGAGATTTCATATGAGTATGGAAAGGGATTTTGTCACCTTTCAATGATAAAACGAAGGGTTGTTTGTTTTAAACATAGCGGAAACTGAGGAAGAATATGTTTCAGTGAATCTGACTTCCAACTACCTCTGTCTATTCAGGATGCCAAGACATTGCCAACTGTCAAGGGATGGCGGAGTGTCCTTGCAATGACTGCCAAGTGTGCTCAAGATGTGAAGGCGTTATGATGGAAGAATCAGGCATGCGAGCTTATGCCATTTCGGCTGACAGAAAATACTGTAGAAGTGAGTACGTTTAGAAAAAGCGAGCAATCTAAGGTCACTTACAGTATCATTCTGATGAGGAAATGGTAGACCCTATATTTGTAGTAAAGGGTATATGTACTGGTAATACAAATTGTTTTAAGTGAGTATGAGTAAGTGAGTTAGTTAATATTTAACGTCACCTCGGGAATACTTCAGACATATTTTTGAGTGAGGGAGTGAACAAGGTCATACGCTGCCTTTGCCCACCACTATGCTGCAGACAACCCGAAATGGATCATGGTGAGTATGTAGCAAACAAAACTGGGTCTTTGACTGATGAGTGGTTTTTTATCCCATTGGCCTATCCTATCCCTTACAACTGATTACAAAGCAAGAGGAATACGATAAGATAATCTGTCTATCCGAACTTCAGAGGCATGTTCATGGCGTTCTGACAGCACGTGGTGTTACCCGGGGACCTGCCAGGAGGAACTGGCCAGTAACTGCATCTGCTCTCCTGGATTCAGTGGTTCAAACTGTCAGAACAGTAAGTTTACTTCACAATTATTACACTTCTTACCTCCCGGCCTCGATTCTTTAGCCATACAAATTGGTGGTGTACTATACATAATGAGTTACTTATTTTGGTAAATATAGACAAACACAAATTTTCACTGATTGTATACCGTTTAGTAGGTAGCATTAGACACTCAGTGATTGTGACAAACTTAAACTACTTTTAACAATACCATAACTTGTCACCAGTGGTTTGACTGTTTTCACGATTCAACCCTTCAGTTGACACACAACCCGTGATACTATGGAACAGAATTGTTGTACATGGCCAGGGTAAAGAAACAGCCAAGGCTCCAGTCGACCCGAACAACTCTGAGGTCCAGGAAGACTCGTGGACAAACCTGAGGAACATGCACAGTATCAGCTATGATTTTCACACAAGCTTCAACCCTTCTGAACTGCCGCCAAGCAGGCATAACTTCATAGATGGTTACAAAGTCGGAATAGTACAGGCAAAAGTGACACTAATCATTTTCAAAGGTACACCGTGAACTGTTTAGACAACAAAAAAAACTTGATTTTCAGAAAAAAAAGATCGGGGGTCAGAATTGATTTGATATTTTTGTATGTTCCACTTAACGTTAAACCCTTTGTCTTTAAACCCCTTCTTCTGTTTCAGCACTCCTTAGACATACTTACCCTTATCGGAAGCATCCTGTATCACCACTTATTTTCAATGCTCCATATTCGTTTCGACCCGTGAAGGTCCGGGTTAGAATTGATCTTCAGTAACCCATGCTTCTCTTAAGAGGCGACTAACGGGATCAGGTGGTCAGGCTTGCTGAATTGGTTGGCACATGTCATCGCATACCAAGTGCGTAGATCGATGCTCATGCTGTTGATCACTGGATTGTCTGGTTCAGACCCGATTATTTATAGACCGCCGCCATGTGGCTGGAATATTGCTCAGCGCGGCGTAAAACTAAACTCATTCACTCACTCATATTCGTTTCAAGGTTGCCTTCTTAAACTGAACTGGTTCAATACTTTGCAATTACTTCTCTGATATATATTTGGCGTTGCTCCTGATAGAGGTAAAAGGTCATCAAGGCATGGGATGATCACAAATCAAAACCTTATATTACACCACAAACGATATTAGCTTTGTGTTGTATAGGGACTTACAGCCGACAAAACTGAATGAGATCTTACATTTTCTTCATTTTATTACAGAAATGATTACCTCTTTCTCAACGTCCATTGACTGTCGTGATGTTTCTAAGCTTGACCCACAAACAGATATCTTCAAATGCAGTGGAGATGTCAATGTGACAAATGTCTTGACTTCATCGGAGCTAATAACAGGGAATGTGTAAGACAAACTTGCCTATTACAAATATATTGCTTTCCAATGTCACAGTGTGTTTTCATCTGCGTAATGCTTATCATGTTCCCAACAAGGTTGGATATGCTGTGTGAATCAATATTGTGTTGTTGCATTTAAGTGCTAACATTGCTCAAAGAACTTGATTCATGTATAAATCAATGTTTGTTACAGACTGCAGTTTCAGTTTGTCACCTCAAACGGCGGGTTTGTGAAGATCAAGGACATGGAGAACAACACTGTGCAGACACACTACTATGCTGGTCAGTCGAGGACAGCAACATTGAGAATAGGTATCGACTATGTGAGTCCATATCACTGCATTGCAGCTCGGGGATGTTCTGCTGATATGCTCATTGTTGGCAAGACAAGTAAGCAGGTGAGAATATGGTTTACATAGATGACACATCCATTTTGTTCCACAAGACAGACATACGATATCATTGTAACTAATTGCAGACACCTGAAGATGAGGGTTAGAATTGGTCTTTAACCCATGCTTGTCATAAGAGGCGACAGGCGGGTTCGGGTGGTCAGGCTCGATGACTTCGTTGATGCTTGCCATTGCATCCCAATTGCATACCCCACGTAAATCGATGCTCATGCTGTTGATTACTGGACTTTATTTACAGGCCGCCTCCATACAGCTGGAATACTGCTGAGTGTGGCATTAAACAACAACAAACAAAACTGTTTTAATCCTGATTCTAACAAAGACACAATTTGCAGTTGAAAACAGTTTCAAAACTCTGCAGTGGTGAATTAACAAATGTAGTATCGCCTGGAAAACATGCATTACGCAGTTTGTACAGTAGGTATATGTAGCTGGCATTAAATGACTCGGTATAAGCTGATGTGTTGTCTTCATTGTTTACAGCCATCATTTAACGTTCAGTGGAATGGGTGGAGAGACGACACATCTGGCATACGGTCATTTGAATTCCAAGTATTTGAAATGGAGTTTATCGTCAGTGAAGATGGTCTCAGGATGAAAAATAGAAAACTCATTCAAAGGTTCAATTCCACTCAGGTGAGATGCATGGTAATGAAATAATATATTCAGTTTGATTTTAAGAGCCTTAGTCAATATCTTCGCAAAACACGCTTTTGGTATCTTGATGGAGAGTTGGTCTAGCTACTTCGTTTTAGAATACAATATTACAACAATATTAAATTTTCAAAAAGTGAACATGATTTACATTACTTTTGTGTCAGAACACTGGCAGACTACACCTCAATGACAATGGGATACTCTCAGTGGAGATTACTGCGATTGACAAAGCTGGAAACCTAAAGAGTGCCAGACGAATCATGATCCATGATGGAAAATCCAAAGTAGAGACGACACCAAACACCGTGTTACGTGCGACGTCAGCTGCAGAGATATCTTCATGGGAGTGGCAGTGGACATCGGACTCGGTCACCATCGACTGGAACCATCGCTACATCAACACGCTACACCACAGAAACAAATGGTTGGAGAGGGTATTGCCAGTTCCTAATATTGATGAAGAGTATGATGACCAAGGGTACAGCCGAGGGGTGGATCAGATACCAAATGTACAAGGTTGTGATTTCGAGATCGCCATTTTCTCAAGTCTCTTTTCAGAATATTAAAGTCTGTGTTTTTGTCATATGTTTGAGAAAACGTATGCAAGTACTTTCAACTGTCAAAAGTCCCCCCTGTATTGTCCTAATTTGTAAGAGATATATACTAGTTTAATTTCTTGAGCTTGTGATAATCCAGTTTGTTTTACTGTCCTTCGTTGACAGACGTTTAGTGAATTACATTTACATGTATTTATGATAAAGTTAAAAAATTGTTGTAGTCACGATATGGCTGAAATATTGTCGATGTGACTTTAAATTTTAACTGACTGACTCATTCACTCACTCACTCAAACGTCCTCCTTGTTACCTTTACTGTATTGTTGTTTATATCATTAAAATATGTCTACTAACTCACTCACTCAATGAAACGGCTAATTCACAGATGTCATCTTCATCATAAATGTTGACTGAAGACCAAGCATAAAAAATGTTATCATTGACTAGTTTCCTTCTCAGGAATTGTTGCCGTAAAATATGCTTACAAAGTGGACCACAAGGGAGGAACATCAATAGGAACGGTTCCAGATGACCCCCACTTCAGCAGCCTCTACTTGAACCAGTCCCACACAATCTCGCCCACTCTGGTTGATGGGGACACTCTCCGCTACTGGATCAGGGCTTATGACATCATGGACGAGTATCTGGAGGAGAGAGTGACCGTCCACATTGACACATCACCCCCTATCATTGAGAACCTGTGGCTGACTCGGGAGGACAGGCTCAATGTCAGTGTACACAACGTAGATGAATTTAATCAAATGGTGTAAGTAATGTTGACTGTCAACATTGGGGTATATGGGTATCCTTAGTGGGAATAGAATATCAACCATCACATAGCAAATGCTGAGAGTATTTCAGAATGAATCAGTCTTGAAATTGTTACACTGACATACAACGATCCTGAAGATGCCTTATTTATACACTGTGGCTAACGGTTAACATTACAAACGTCCCCAGCATATATACCAGACCATACCATAAAGTTGTTTTTAAAGCTATCCTTTCCAGGCAACCAGCTGTGTATAAGACAGTTCAACGAACTATATAACCCTCTGTGTAATTTGCAGGATCGAATGGGTGAGTTATGATGACCACAGTGGTCTGGAGACAGTTTCCTGGCGACTATTTGATAATTACACAGGTGAGGATCTCGTCCATGGTGTTGAGCACGTTTCTCCGCAAGGCAAAGTACAGGTAAATACTTTCGTCTCCAGTTTTCAAATACTAGTATTAAGTTGATATCATTAATATGAAATTTAGGAGCACCTTGATATATCTTCTTTTTTTAAAATGGCCTTCAGGACTTGCTGGAATGTGAAAGTGAATACCAGACTAGACCCATGGGCCCTCACTGTTACTGCACTCCTGGAGTTGGATGTTACCATAGACATTTCCAGATCAAGCCCAGGGTTGTATCAGCCAATCTGTCACATGGAGGGATCTTCCATGACAAGGACAAAGGGGTTCATGACTCGGATTACTATCTTGAAGTTACCGTGATGAATCATGCCAAACTGACAACAACTCTAGATTTTAAGGTTTGTAAAACATGTTTGTTAACATACAAATGACGTATTTGAACCCCTTTTAAGTATGTTGTGTCATGCTATTAATCTGTAATATTTGATCAGGTGACCATTGACTCCAGTCCACCGCACACTGGTTCTGTTCACGATGGTCAAAGGGGCCACTCTGAAATTGACTACCAAGACAGTAAGCAGCTCCATGCCCACTGGGAGGGATTCTTTGACAGAGAAAGCGGAGTCAAGTTTTACCAGTACGGATATGCTGATCATTGTCTAGAGATAAGGGATTTCGGCCTTGATTTGTCATCACCCAATGTAAGTATGAAAGAAACTGTTTGTCTCGTAAGAAACATACAACGTTGGAGCACTTTTGTAATAGAAATATATTTCACAATGCAACAATATTGTTTCCATGGAATAGTTAGTCTCTGTCAACAGGTTGCTGAGTATTGTGTAAAATCTAACTTCCACTAATTCCACACAGGTGACCGAGACGTCCTCAACCCACGCTTCGTGGACAGCCCCTTCTGAAGGCAAGTTCTATATCACAGTAGTCGCCTTCAACCGAGCTCTGGACTCATCCCTTCCAGTGTGTTCTGATGGAGTAACCGTGGATAAGACACCACCGTCTCTTGCCCAGATTGCTGTCCTCAACTCCCGCACTACTGAAGGTCTGGTGACGAATGGCGAGGAAGTGTGGCTCGTCACTGCAGACAGGAGGAGGAGTCGGATTGAAGACCCCGATAGTGTTTGCAGGTATGTTATTACAAGGCTTCAACATCAAAACAAAATACAATTAAAATATACATGTTAGAAAACGTTTGAATAAAATTACACGTTTTATTGATCGAATGTTTGTATGTAGTGTACCATGCCAATCTAGAAGTCTATATTTGCAGAATGCGGGCAGCAGTGACAAGCAATCACAGCTTATCTCTACTTCCCCTTCATAAACTTCTGAATGGTTCAACTGTAACCCACAAAGCATTATCCTGCAGTCAGCATCAAGCCTTCATGCTCAGCTCCGTCAATCAGTTTTATATGTCACAGAAACATCACGTGAGTTCTAATCTAAAAAGACAGATTCACCGTACAATCAAGTAGTTTCAATATTCAGTTCGTATATATTACATATATATTGGGTTCATATTACTCTGCGTGATTTCGCCTCCAGCTCTATGTCAACTGGACTAGCAGTGATGCTGAGAGTGGTATTTATGACTATCAGCTGGGACTTATGTCTGATGCATCTCGTGAAGCAGCTCCAGACATCCTTCCCTACACATCCACGCACCACCATCCTCACTATGAAGGATACCACCCACATCTCAGTGAAGGGCAGCAGGTCTATGTAGCAGTAAAGTCTATAAATAAAGCTGCATTACATGTCACTGAGGTACGTCAGATACACGCTTACGTGTGAGATTTCTACAAAATGATGCTTTCTAAATAGAAAGACAAATAACAAGAGTAGTGATAACCTCAAAAGGACATACATATCCATGTGCAAGTCTGATTATATCAACGTAGGTTTGCTCATAAAAACGGAAATGGAGGTGCAAAAATAAACAATGTCACATGGAGTCAGATCAAGATTTTTTTAAGTTTCATGCTGTTTTTCATACAAGGCAGCTGCCAACCTACTCTCTCTTATTTGTGCAGGTCTTGGGTCCTATAACAGTGTACACTCAGGCGCCAGGGTTCACAGCACCAATCACTGTTGGCTTACACGAAAACCACCTTGTCGCCACGTGGACAGCTGGTTCATTCACAGATGTCAGGCATGACTATCTGACCTATGAATTTGCTGTTGGTGCGTATCTGTTGAATGGAGACATCAGAAATTATGCTACATTAGTTTTACTTATCAGAATAGTTTTAGGATTCAAACATGCAGTTGTAGAAAGTATGGTCTATGTGCAAATCTTGAATCATCATTTGATGAGTGTTGGTCAAGTTTCATCCGCCATTATAATCTATGTAGACACCAATATGTAAACATTGGGACTTTCCATTTGACATTAAACTCTAAAATACAGGAATGCAACTAAACACAGAAAATTAACTTCTTTAAGTGACATTTAGACATTGGTATGATGAAGAGGAACACCTTTTTCTGATAGACAACTTCTGTATTGTAACAATGTGCTTGATAACGGTGTTAACATCTACACCGACACGTTGCATCTATTACAATAAAAAATTGTCTATCCACAACAAGTGTTCCTCCTCAGAAACGTATTTTAACAATTGTTGCAATATGTGTTGTCTTCAGGTTCTTCCCCTGGAGGCTCCGACATCTTCCCCTTCCTCCCTCTCCTGTCTGGAGGAGGATGTTCTGTTTCCACGCCACCAGCATGTACGGCTGTCGCCACCAGCGACCTTCACTGGGATCTACATCACGCACAAACCTACTATATATCGGTGAAAGTGACCAACATTGTTGGACTGTGGACAATTGGTGTGTCGGACCCTCATGTCCATGATGTCATACTGTCGTCTCGGGGAGTCGTTTTTGATATCTGTCCACAGAATGAACAAGAACTTTTTGACATAACGGTAAATCAACCTGTGTCATATAGGTTAAATATCTGCACTGTATTTTACACAAAGAGAGAAAATACATTATTTATTTCAGTTGGAAACCACATCAAGACATTCTGTAGTCGCGTCAATGGTTGCTTTTGATATTTTTCGTATCTTGTTTCTTTTCAGGACTTCGTGGATTCCGATCTCCAGTTATCCACCACCACACTGGAAACAAAATGGTTTGGGTTTGACGTTGGCCGGTCTGGGGTCAAGTACCGCGTCTGTATCGGAACAACTCCTGGAATGCAAAACGTCCGAGCCTATGCAGATGTTGAAGAATCCATGTCACACAAGTTTAACAACTTGATACTTAATGTGAACACTGTAAGTGAACATAAACAGACCTGTTATTGGATATCAGATAGCACAGATTACAGGTGACCCGATTTACATAAGACAATATTGTAGTACTTTAAGTTGCAAAATGAGATAGCATGTATTTGTGGTTTGTTCTACTTCTAGGTTTACTATGTGACAGTAAAGGCACGGACACCTGCTGGAGAAGTCAGTCAGTCATCGGACGGGGTCAGGATCATCAGATACAATGAAGATGTAGGTGGCCGTGTCACAGTGAGAGATGGAGACAGATGCTCAAATGGTAGGATGAAATAGTGTATAAAAGCCTGTTTATCTGAACACAATTTGGACCAGATTATTGTTTCTAAGCGACGTAAATGCTTTGATTAGTGAGACTTCAGATGCTATATTATTTTCCATCCAGAACTTCACCGTCAGACAACAAGCAAGACTAGCATGCGGCATGCTCCTGTAAGTATACCAGACCTCCTCCTCTGTAAGTGTGTCACGAGAACCTACCGATGATTCATGCATTTCACATATAATTACATCATTGAATATGAAGTTGTCGGATGACGAAGATTACATACTGTTGCAAATATGTATACGGGCTACTTCTCGTCTATGTTTACTTTTTTATGTTGTATCTTACACTCTGGCATCAGTGTGTTCCTGATCCGATCTACCAAGCGTCCACATCCATGTATGCAGCCTACTGGGAAGTAACTGGTTTCAACATTTCTTACACTGATGTCCAGATATTAATTGAAAGAAAGTTCCCTGGATCAGGTATATAATCTTATCATTACAGACCATAATACACTTTTGTGGTACTAACTTTTATTTTGATATGAGCCATCTGGTAGGGGTCAATTTTAAAGGAGATAATCTGACATAATGTATGATACTGATTGATGTAGGTCTTGTTATAAAATTTTATGTTCAGATAAAAACTGAGAACACTGAAACAACATCTTGTAGCTACGGCAATACAATCTCTGAATTAAGGAAGTCATTTTGGAAATCAAACAAAATGTCGAATTAGTTTGAAAGACTATTTTTCAAACATATTCCTTTCAGATTGTCCAGTATCAGTGTCCTTGTGAACTAGAGCTGTATATCTTGTATATTTGGAACACATCAGTCAGCACTACAAAGTGTGCTAATAGAATATAAGCGACCCCAGATAGTATCGTCCTACTAACTTCAAATGTGGAAGTAACTAATCTTTGTAAAATACAATGTTATGAACTTGAACAAAATCTATCTTAACAGAACTAATGTATTAATGTAATACATTTTTAACATTTTAAAAACAATTACAATGACTTTTAACACAGAGAGAGAGAGAGAGAGAGAGAGAGAGAGAGAGAGAGAGAGAGAGAGAGAGAGAGAGAAGAGAGAGAGAGAGAGAGAGAGAGAGAGAGAGAGAGAAAGAGGGAGTAATCGACAACCACTGTTCTTGATGTAATCTACAGATAGTAACTGCTAACATTAGATCGTAATTTCTCAAAAATAATTATTATTAGAACACAGAGTTGTGAACTTCTCTTGAATCCTAATGGCACTGTTAGCCGATAAAATTTGACTGGCATCTTACTCAAAGTATCTGTGGTCAGTTTCAAAGGTGGTGGTTTGTAAAAATATTTGGAATAATAAACAATAATGATCAACATAAAAGGCAGATACCGAATTCGAATTAACAGGAGATTTAGGATTGCTCATTAGTTCATTACTAATAACCTTGACATGTTTGAGTGCGCTAGATCTTAAAACACAGGTCGACTACTACTAAATATATGGTCACGATAGTGCTCAACAAGTAATAAATATATCACGTAACTTGTTCAAAGATCAGATATAGATCATAATGTACATGCATATACATATCTTGAACATTTCATGCAATTTAACATAAGTCAAATGCCTAAGATACTCACAATCTATCACCAGATGATCTGTGGCAAACTGTTGATGGGTACACAAGTCTAGGAGTCGTTGACAATGCAGTGTTAAGTGGACTTTCTCTGGACCCTGGACACACCTACAGGGCTGCCGTCATGTTCTGTGTCGTGAGAGTCTGCACCAGGCCCGTGCACAGCAATGGTGTGACTGTAGTTCCCCATCCCCCTGTAGCTGGGGGCATCAACATTGCATACTCCGAGAAAGGGATCTCGTCACAAGTGAGCACAGTGGTAGCCAGTCATGTTATGAGGGAATGTCCAGAACTATAGTTTCAGCTATGATAAAAATACATGGATCTTACGGAAAGATGATAGCTCTACCATATATTCCATATAGTCTTGACATACTGGTAACATTGAGGCATGGTGCGCGAGCTTTCTAAGGCGCCAAACTAGCTTCAGGTGCCGGGATCGAGTCCACATGTGACCGGGTGTAAAAACCTTGGAGTCAACTTTGTGTGCAGACTCTTTCAGTGTTGACACAAACCCTAGTGTACAGTACACAACCCTGTGCACTTAAAAGGACCCACGTATCCGTTGGTATATGACCAGATGGTGGCCACATGAATACGTGCAAACACCTAGTCGCGGGGACAGCAACCTGTAGTATAACTTGGACAAAGTTCTGTGACTATGTGTTCCAGTCCACCCAGTTGTTAATGGGTACCTCGTAAGGATGGGAAAAGCCACATTAACTCGGTGCGCCTAGTGGCTGCATTAGTTGTATGCTCCCCAGGGAGTGTTGATAATATAATGTGACATTTGAGATTGACATCCAATGATCGAGGGAAAAACAAAGCGCCTTTGAACACGTGATTTAGATATTAGGGCTATATAAATAAATACATATATATATATTGAGACATTATCGCAATAGGCCACTATGTCCCTATTATAGTGTTTCAACAAACTGATAACCAATTATATCTGAATCATCTTCGATTGTCCTACGTTTCCTGAGTCATAGTATGATGGAACAAAAACTACTAAGTTTTGCACTTTCCTTTGTTCTTTGCATAGCTGGAGGTTGCAATGGATCGTTTCCGCGATCGCGACATACCTGCTACGTCTGAGTCGTATGCTGTGATGGAAAGGTATGAGTGGAGTTTGATCGATCCTGGACTCCTCACTGAGTGGGCACCTGTGGCCAGTCTGACTCATCAGGGAAATCAGGTAAACTGAGGAATACGAAAAGCATTCTTAAACTATCGATCCCATTTATAAAAAAAAACAATCTTGATGGCTGCATAACACGATTCGTCATAATCACATACATACTTTTTGCTTTTGGCAACTGGTCAGGTTTTATTCAAGATCAGCCTCTCCAGACCGCTAGATTTCAGCAAGTGCCGCCGGCTAGCCGTCAGAGGGTACAACAAAGTAGGGCTCTTTACCGTAGTGTCTGCTGATGTCAGAAACTGCTCTGCCTTTGATCCACCTCTGGTGAAGCCTTCACTGGTCATTGACGCCACTGGTTAGATATTTGAAATATTCAATCATTGCATATGACAGTTGTGCATATGCCTCCGTAGGATGTTTTCGGCATCGATATAAAACGTTGTGCTGACTTGATATGTAGACGGGAAAATATATTTTTTCCAAATAAGTTACTAGTATCTTTGAGATTTTGTTACTCTGCATAAATCTTTCCCCCAATGTTTTGATTGCTGCCATCTCATCATTTCTGCTACTAAAAGTCTTCCACGCACGTGTGATTTGTGTATATGGAAGGGATAAAAGTCAGAAGGTGCTTGATCACTGGTTGGATATTTGAAATGTAATGATGCACACATACATGCTTTCCTGCACACTATTTATGCTCTTGCAGGATTAAAGATTGCTGAAGGCATTGGGAGCAATATCATCTTAGAACACAATGCCCTCTGGCCCATGCTGGATGTCGACTATACTCCCTACAAAAACATCCTGTCAGCTGTGTGGCCAAGTCTACGTCACAGGAAGTACAAGTGGGCGGTGGTAGCTGGTAACAAGCTGGATCCTACATCTCACTTCAAACGGCAGAGTCTAATGACTGTCTCTGACCCATGTGCCTTGGCCGATGTCATCAAGTGTGGAGAAACAGGTGAAGTTGTGATGCGCACAGATTATATGTCGCTGATCATGACTTCTTGATCTTTTGGGTGTAGTTCCTTGTTGATACTCCGCATTATAAATGGAGTATATTCGTTTAAATTCAACTGTTTTCTAACTTCACAATTTCAACATTAAAACATTTACTAGTTGACAACCCTTCACGAATAGAGTATTTATATTGTGATTCTGTTCGTTGTCTAGGAATGGAATTTGTCAACATACACTTTGACCAGAAAGAAGAACTTCCCTATGGACAAAGGTTCTACGTTTGCATTCATGCTGATGAGATGGAAGTGACTTATGAGAAGTGGCCAACTGCCTTGGAAGAGGTGAATGCGTGCAGTGACGGTATCACTGTCGACCTCACCCCACCATCTCCAGGCTCGATCAGCATCCCGGGGCTAACGGAAAACATATATCAAGTATGTAAAACACCCTAAAATTTGATAGTCATATATAAACTTAAACGTGGTGAGGTCATTTATACTCTAAGGTAAATGCCACTTTTTGTATGCTTAATGGGTACTTTAAACGACATGTTGGAACATGCAGTGAAACAACTGATTCAATATTCGTTGAGTTTGATTGAAAGAAAACATTGTCAAAAACAGCGAAGAACAAGGGTGCAGAAAGACACCAGCACCGTGTTTGATTCAAATGTCCAAATACAGCTGCCTAGTGCATGTGGAAGACATACTTCCCGTGCATTTCTTTGTATTGGTAACAAACATATGTTTCCTTTGCTATTTCAAGCTATCACTTGACTCATTTTCACAGGTTTTTGGAGACAGGCGCCGCCAGTGTTTCAAGATATACTCTCGATTTTGCGAATATCTGGTGTTATAAGTACAAGATTGTGTTTTGTGAACTCTTGTTTATGGTATAGTGGGAATCTATGTAATGACAGCTATGTACAACTGTTTATCTGCTTGGGTTAGAGCACCAACTGGTTTATCAAAATATGTGTTCATGCAACAAACTGGTATAAATGGTAATTTACAGAAAACTAAAATTATTGTTTTTAGAAACTGTGGCCCTTTCAGGTCATATGAAAAATGGTTTTATGATGGTATCTCTATTGGTGGTGTACCTTTTTATAAATAAATAGGTCTTGTGTTTACCCAAGGTTCAAACATGTTTAGCATCCCAGGCCAATAAGGCAATAATTTCGGTTACTAATTTTCAAAGGAGTGAGTGAGTGAGTTAATATTTATCGTCACATCGGCAATATTTCAGCCATATCGTGTTAAGAACAATTAATGATTATATCATATATCAATAAAATTAGAAATTAAAACCTGTTGACGAAGAACAGTAAAACTACTAGTGTATCACAGCTATCCATTTAAAACTAGTGATGAAATCTAAAATATATTAACTAGAAATGACAAGACAATGTAAAAACAGGCTATAGATTGCCAACAACTGAAGGTAGATCACCATACTAGGGACCAAGGGGACTTACTGTACATTTGCTTCCTGCATGGACCCTAGCTGGATTTACATCATCCCTTGAGCCGTTAGCAGTTAAGACACATTTAGCCATACATTATAAAGACACTTATTCTACGATTAAAAAGGTTGGATAGATTGAAACTGACTTTGAAAATTTTCAAAAGAAATTAGGTAAATAAATTTAAATTATACAGATGTACTTAAGATATCTGATTGTATGAGCCCCACCTATTCTATGCTATTTATCAGGAATTTGGGACACTTGTTACTGCAATACCATTGAATCAGTCCACAATAAATGTTGTAAAAATGCATTAAATGTTGGAAAATCTACAATATGTTTTTAGTGATTGAGTGAGTCAGTATTTCAGCCATATCGTGACTATGCAAGATTTAAATTTTTAAACGTATAAATGAAATAAAAATAAACTTACATACTTACCTGTCTGCGAAGGACAGTAAAATAACTAGGCTATCACAGATTTATACTTGAAACTAGCATATATAACCATAAAATACTATTTCTAAGTTTAATGGTACAATATATAAATGATCTATACATTGCCAACAACTGAAGGTAGATCAGTTGTTATCTTAAGAATGTTTTTTCACTAAATTTAGATGTTGTAAGTTTAAGTTAGAAGTTGAAACTAATAGATGTGAAATGTAAAGAGAGGTATTGCCAATCATGTGAATCCAAGGGTATTTTCTAGTTGAAGATGAATGGCATGTAGTTTATATTTGTGAAACATATTCTGTGTACAGAAGGAAATACATTAAGACATATTTTAGTATTTATCCTACCATTAATAATTTTGGTGCACTGATAAATAGTAATAACAGTGATATAATTATATATGTATGTCTAGTTTTGTTTCGTGTAAATAAGAAAATCTAAATCCGCATTGTGTAAATACATTTGATTAAGTTTGTATGTTGGGCCGGAGGCCTTTTACTGAAATAAACTGTCTGACGTTTGCTTTTAGTAGAGCTTAGTCATGTATGTAAAAAGTACCAAGTTTCGTAACATAACCCTATACTGACGTGGTGGTAGTCAGTTTGAAATAAAGGTTCTGTGTGGAGATGTACATGCTTGCGTCTGTGACGTGGGTATGGTAGGGGGTGGCATACATCGCATCTGTGAATGTGGATACATTTGATCTTCTGATCTAACGCTATAAGAATTTTAACTGGAAGAGACATAATCCTGGCACTATCAGTTGCATTTATACAGGCTGGTATTTTCTTGTTCTTATGTAGTAAACACATGTTTATGATAAAGTGATGATCAATCATCCATGAACTGTCAATATTCTCACAGATCAGCACATCTGAGGTGAGGGTTGAATGGTCTGGATTTACTGATGTGGAGGAGGAAGGATGGAGTTCACATACGAGTGGCATCGCCTTCTATCAAGTTGCATTAGGTAGGACAATGTTGTACACTTAGATGGATGCCTCATAAGTTGGGTAGATGTTGGCTTCTAATGTTTAATGTTCTGAGAACTTAGACACGTTGCAGGACTATTTAACAATCAACAAATTAGTATGTAAATGTAGATTACTGTCTGCACAGCTGAACTTACAAACGGGTTCATGCGACAGGGTCTATACCAGGAGAGGAAGACATCAGAGAGTTCACAAATGCTGGACACGTCCACCACACCACGCTGTCAGGTCTTCAACTACAGGACGGACACGTCGTCTATGCTACTGTCAGAGGTACATGGTCTAGGACAAGTGTTTCAGTTGATATAAAATACAGATTTATCAGGTATGACAATTTACAAAATCCAAATGTACCACTTTTGTAATATACCGAATCATACTAAATTTTACATCATGAAATGTGCTCATTTATGGTTTTGCCACCAGTAAAATGATTTTAAGTTTTATTATATATGTGTACAGCTACCGACTTTGTCAACCACCACTCAACAATATCGTCAGTAGGATTTGTCATAGATTCTACTCCACCTTATCACACAAGAACAAACATACAAGTTGAAGAAAGGTACCTCACATCTCCCGTACTCCCAGTGTGGTATGTATCATAAATGTTTGAATTTGTTAAAACACATGCTTCCTCCTTATTAAATGATTGAAAGAAACATACAGTTTAATTATTCTTTGAAGAACGTATCAATCTGTGTACACAGACTTTTCACATTCCTCTTCAAATGTCTCGCTGACAGCAGTGTAATACTGATATCCAGCCACAATCATATTAGCTTTATGATTGTGGCTGGATATCACTCTTACTCTGGATATTGATAGTGGTCATGACAATTAGCGACGTTTTGTGCTGCGTTGCATTTCAGCTGGGAGGGAGTGTTTGTGGACGAAGAGAGCGGAGTCAAACATTTTGATGTTTATGTTGGAAGTAGACCAGGGCACCAGGACATCTTGGTATTGGGAAGAGTACAGGAACTATGTACAGAGCTTGACCTTTCCCAAACAATGAAAGATGGTCACAGTGTGTATGTTACCGTGAAGGTGAATGTCATTTTGTCATAAAACTTTCATAACACGAGTTTTGATAAAACGATCAAATGAGTTATCAAAGAGCATTGTCTTACAATCCATTGTACATCAATCCAATGCAAGTTCTTCATTTATTAGTGCATGAGAAGTTCATATATGTATTTCCCTCCGCTCTGCAGGCCTACAACAGAGTGAACCTTTCCACATTCATCACGTCACATGCCCTGGAAGTGGATACAACGCCCCCTTCTGTCGGTCACGTGTTTGATGGAAGATCATCAGCTAGTTCAGCAGAGGTGAAGGATGAAGATTACATCACCAGGATGGAAGACATGGGAGCCCATTGGGAGGGGTTTTCTGATCCCCATTCTACCGTTTCTCACTTCTTGGTCAAGGTTGGAACCTGCCCTGGATGTGACGGCGCAGTAGTGGAATTTGCTGCAGGTGCAAGCACAGGTGGGTTAGATTGGGTAACATTGATCATGTACTGCAAATGTAACCAAGAGAGAACAACAGGAAATGACCTACTACGTCTTTGGCAGGAAATAGACATCTGTAGTCACATGTCGGGAAACAGCATAAGTCTCAACCATTTCACTGTGATATATCAAAGCCAGTGCTATTAAGGTAGATTAGATCTGAATATATTGTCACTGAAATCAATGTTTACATGCTTTCTGAATTCCAAAGGACGGGCGCTGCACAACATATACACTGATACCTTATGGTGAGTGTGTGAGTGAGTTTATTTTTTACGCAGCACTTAGCAATATTCCAGTTATATGGCGGCGGTCTGTAAATAATCGAGTCTTGACCAGACAATCCAGTGATCAATAGCATGAGCATCGATCTGCGCAAATGGGAACCGATGACATGTGTCAACCAAGTCAGCGAGCCTGACCACCCAATCCCGTTAGTCGCCTCTTACGACAAGCATGGGTTACTGGTGATCAATATTCTAACCCGGACCTTCACGGGTGATACCTTATGGCGCCTTTGTGAAAACTTTCGTCTTCTTGGAGGCTAGCTTCATATTCATTGGACTGCTGAGAGTCAACAATTCAAACCATTCTCGACATTCTCGACTGTCCACGATTGATGTTAAACCTCAATGAAAGGACCGCAATTACACAGACTGGTGCACCTGACTATGAATATATCGCATATCTCAGTGTAAGTCCCCACATCTAAAGTCCGAGATTAAAACCGGAATGTCTGGTCTATTCCAAATTGAAAATAGCAGTGCGGTGATCTATAAGTTCAATCTCCGTGTCTTATATCAAGCAATAATATTCTGTAGGGGTGAGGTGGGGTTTTTTCGATTGCATATTATGGTACACAAATCGTATTGTGTTTATATTTATTAGAAACAGAAAAAGTTATTTCAGTATCCAAAATAAAGTTATTGAAATCTTGCAAATTCTTGCACAACCTGTTCTCAAGATTCCACACTGATTCGTGAAAAAAAGCCTCCGTGCTCTCATTCCAAACGCGTTTCACTCGTACCAGAAAGGAGATAAAGCTATTTAGGTAACGCTTTAGGCTTTTACCGGTTTACGAGTTTTAAACCACAACCTAAAGGACCGCAAAATTAAAAACAGAATAGCATTATCTCCTAACTGATATAGCAAATTTAAAGAGTGTGTGCTTATTTCCAGATGTAGTCTTCCATCACATTATGTTCGCTGAGGGTGTCAGGTATTACGTGACAGTGACAGCTTGTAACATGTAACATCTGATGGTGTTATCCTGGATCAAAGTGCTCCTGCAGCATGGACGGCACACATCCGAGACTCCCAGTACCAGGCATCCAGGTCCTAGATGCTTAGATTTTAATATCAAGGTTTAACCCTAACCCTGGCAGCGTCATGGACGGCATCCACCAAGACCGAGATTCCCAGTACCAGGCATCCAGGTCCACTCAGACTCCTGCTTACTGATTTTAATATCAAGGTTTAACCCTAACCCTAACCCTGGCTGACGAGACCGAGACACCCAGTACCAGGCATCCAGGTCCACTCATACTCCTGCTTACTGATTTTAATATCAAGGTTTAACCCTAACCCTAACCCTGGCTGACGAGACCGAGACTCCCAGTATCAGGCATCCAGGTCCACTCATACTCCTGCTTAGTGATTTTACTATCACGGTTTAACCCTAACCTTTACCCTGGCACACAAGACCGAGACTCCCAGTACCAGGCATCCAGGTCCACTCATACTCCTGCTTAGTGATTTTACTATCACGGTTTAACCCTCCCACCAGGCATCCAGGTCCCTGGCACACAAGACCGAGACTCCCAGTACCAGGCATCCAGGTCCACTCATACTCCTGCTTAGTGATTTTACTATCACGGTTTAACCCTAACCTTTACCCTGGCACACAAGACCGAGACTCCCAGTACCAGGCATCCAGGTCCACTCATACTCCTGCTTAGTGATTTTACTATCACGGTATCAACGTTTACCTTTTACACTCCCAGTACCAGGCATCCAGGTCCACTCATACTCCTGCTTAGTATTTTACTATCAGGTTTGCCCTAACAACCCTACATACTCCCTCCCAGTATCACCCGGTCCAGACCATTAAACTATGTATTATTAATCAATATCACCCGGAGACCATTACAATACCAAAGTGATTTTTGTGTTTGTGTCACTAGAACGTTCCTGGGCTGCAAGTGGCATGGGTTCCAGGACACAGAGTCAGGTCTGGACCACTATGAGTGGCAGGTGGGGACCACACCAGGAGACAATGACATTCTCTCATCACAGCATGCTGCCCTTAAAGAGGTGGCATTCCTCACACTGAACGCAAGTCAGATGCTACCCATTGGAAACAGGATGTATACAACAGTTAGAGCGTTCAACAAAGCAGGTATAAATGATGTAGAGATGCATTACTCATAATACTAATTTCAACATACAAACAGTCCTTACTCTGTCTTTTACAGCACCAATAGTGATGAATATTCTATCCGAAAACATAAGGCTGAATGTTTTAAATAATTATCACATTCTTCAGGGAATACAGTATTCAAAAATTCTACTAATGCTGTACTACTTTCATAACGACGTCATGTCACCATTGCAAAATGAAGTTTGTCATTGTCGTTTCTCTACACTTAAACATGCGATGAACTTGGTATTGTATGTTGGTATATTATGTGGTTATGACTCTAGGGATGTTCACCACATCAACATCAAATGGCTTCATCATTGACAACAGCGCACCTGAAGTTGTGAAGACCCCTGCTATTGTGGAAGGACAAGGGTCCTTGGTTGCCATGACTCTGATCAGTCGGTCCACTGTGAAGGTCATCTGGGAGGTGAAGGACGATGAGTCTTTCATAGAGAAGCAGTACATCTCAATCTCCTCTCATAGGCTAGGGGAGTTCGATTCTTCCTTGATGGAGGTGAGAGCCAACAGTAAGGTGTTGACAGGGACTATGTAATATCAGTCACTGAAAACAGGAAAGTAACAAAGAATTAGGTGACCCTTTCAATATAAGATTCGATTTGCTTTAATTAATCCATGTGTAACAAGATAATGAACGAGTGCTATTGCATTAAGCTGTCTCAAGTATTTTACAGCCTAACCCAGAAGACACGGTTTGTCTTCAGATACCAGGACCTTTGAGAGAATATACTTTCACACAGCTGAATCTCCATGATGGAAGTCATTACATTGTGAAGGTTATATCATGCAACATGGCTGGTCTCTGTACACAGAGTCAGACTGGAGGCATCTTGGTCGACAGCTCCGTACCAACAACAGGTCGGTAAATATTTACCATAAACATTGACGTGAACATAATTAAAAGATAAAGTTACTCTGTTTTCAATTTTGCGGTCCTTTATCGTTGATTTAAGACTGCTAAATGTAATTTAAATTAAACATTTAGCGGTATTAAATCAACGATAAAGCACCGCAAAATTGAAAAGAGAGTAGCTTTATCTTCATTCTAGCACGACTGATAAGTGTTTTAAAACCGAACTGTTTGACGCGCAAGAACACAAGGCGTGAAGGGGCCTTTTTTCCTGGAAATCGCTTGGAATCGTCCCGTTGAGGGACAGGTTGTGTAATAAACAAAATAAGACATGTTCAACAACATAAATGCTATATTTCAGGAACCAGTATGTTTGTACTTGTAACAAGTAGCATACATAAATATAAAAAATACAGTTTATACAGTGAGCAAATACAATTATTTGATTTTTCTCATGCGAATTATTGATCGCCCCTACTGTATGACAATTGCCTCGCCCCAATTCAAGCCCTGAAGTCGATAAGTTTAGTCGCCGCTAACTTTATTCCCGGAAATAATTGTTGATAACCACCCTACTATTCCCAATTTGGAAAAGACCTGACATGCCACGTTTTATGTGGGATACATGGACAGTGGAAATGGAAGGACTGGGTATTACGGCCGGGACGGAAGCGGTCAGGTTAGGACGTGTGGGCCGAAATGTGTTGTCGACGTCATGCCCGCTAGATCTGGACCCGGTTTGAATATACTGCCGCTTTTGCGCTGCTGACCGATTTTCCAGCTTCGTAGTTTCTTCACTGGGATCAGGGTCAAGAAATTCTTCTTTAAACCATTCGCTTTTTACTTCAAAAACTCCAAAGATGCTGCCGAGGTAGAAATTACCGATGTCCGACATGTTTGTTTACAAACAATAGGGTCAACGCGTTCATTATATTCATACGCGGTGAATCGGTCACTTTATGTAGCGGTCTTAAACTGCCATTTAAGTACGGATTTGATGAGCTCCCAGCCAATCAGAATCGAGTAGCACACAATGTCGTGCTATAATTTCTCTTATATTATGATTTGTATTCTCTTGTAACGAATTACAAGCACATACATCTTATTGAAGCTCACCTTTGCAGGGGTTCTTGCTGTACAAACGGACCATGCTGCCAAATTGTCAAGGACTCAGTCTGGCTGGATGACTTGGACAAGAACCAGTCTTAACCTTGCTTGGCTTGGGTTTGCTGATCTACACTCTGGCATAGATCATTACATAATTACAGTGGGCTCCAGACCATTTGCTGCCGACATAGCACAGGTTTCGTCATTTGTGAAATTGTATCAGGAATTGCACCTTCTGGTAGTTTTCAATGTTTTTTTAGTTCAGGGTTTTGTGGATCTGACTTCGGTTCATATGTCATATCATAATGTACAAGATGTCCAAGAGGTACTTGAGGAATATATGGTTTCAAGGATGTAAATGATATGGTTTACCTTAATGAATTTATCGTGCATGTATCCAGGACCTGCTGGTGAATGTATACCACAACATCAGTGGAGTGGACCTAGAGGATGAGGGAATTGTGCAGACATTCAACATCAGTACCAAGGACTTGTCTTCTACAAATTCTGTATTCGTCACCATGTGGGCAGTAAACGGTGTAAGTACAAGTTGACTTTCCTTCTTACCAGTTGTCATTTACATTTTCGTCCTTCTTTCCTTCCATCTTTCCTTTGTTGTTCAATACCTTTGGTTATTCAGGTAGGCCTCAAGAGCAGCCCCCTCCATTCCAAGCTGGTTCTGGGAGAAGGGGGTGAGCTAGAGTTGGTGAGACGGTGCAGCTCCTACAACTGTGAGGGACACTGTGTCTGTGCTGCCCAGGACAAGACGTGTGACATCAGTCAAGGATGTAAATTCTTGAACAATGGTATGCTTATATATTGTAAGAGGGATGAGAACTATATCACTCACTGACAAAAGACCATGTCTTACTGTGTGACACTACTTTACAGTTTAAACCATGTTTTTTGAGAGATTTAGAATCATGTCCATGCCAGTACTCTCTGTCTCTCTCATTCTCTCTCTGCATCATGTGCAATTTTTTTTATTCTAGGCATCGGGAATTCTTCACTGACGGTTACAGACACCACTGATCTGAAATCTCTTAAATCTCCTACGTTGGAGAATGACATGGACTTCTCTCTCTTTGACTCATTCCTTGCAGCAACATGGACGGTAACCAACACACGATCCACACAGCCCTTGAGGTAGCTATCAACATTTTCTTGAAAACTGTTAATTCCTTTTCTCATGTTTAACATTGATAAAGGCCTTCAATGTTCTTTGCAGGTACGAGTTCAGTGCCGGGCATTCAAGTGGGACATATCCGAGAGGAATATATACGGAAAGTACCGAACGAGTGTGGTTTGATGCAGGAACTTTAATGTCTGCGGTCATAACCCTACCCAAAGGTAAGAGGATAAATGGTGGAGTCGTTTTATATTGTTTAACCTACATATAAACGATTAGGTTTACATTGTTCGTTGTAACTGCATTTTAATGTCCTCACATGCATCTTCTTTGAGTGGCATTTTAGAAGTTGGGAAGTACAATATAGACACGCTTTTTGGATAACAACTTCTTTATTTCGTGAGTGCGACGTTTCGAAACAGATTCGGTACTCGTGAAGAGCAACTTTCTTATGGTGAGTGCTGGGTAACGCTAATAGCTCTTCCCCATTTGTACCGGGACAGAATGTGTCCACAGCACCCCATTGCTGGTCGTAAGTGGCGACCAAATTGTGTCGGTGGAGGACGGTAGGCTGGTGGTTGAGGGAAAAGGAGCCTGGAACTGTGTTCCTATTGCCCAACACACCACTTCGACCCTGACTTCACCTAGACGGGTGGTAGAATGTGCCCGGTTCTATCAATCGGCTGGTAACGCCAGGGCTGTGCATGGTGAGTATTTGGGCAAATATTTCCGTTATTATTTGGTCTTGGCTTTTTCAAATTCCGATGTTCAAATTATTGACCGATTAACTTGCCTAGAGTCCTATGCCAGAAGGCGGTGGCTCATGGGCCAATCTGGCAATATAGACTACTGAATTCTGTGTTTCTCCAGAAACCTGTCAAGGGCGAACCAGCCTGACATTTCTTCCGCTAGATTCAACAGCTCTTCGTCTGACATGACTGAGTGCGACGTTTCCATACAGATTCTTGTCAAACTGACAACGGTACAAGAATCTGTATCAAAACATCACACTCGCAAAATGAAAGAAGTTGTTATCCATAAAGTTTGTCTATCCTCACATGTAATCTTAGTTGTGAAGTTTGTCTTGGAATGTTTTACAGGGCGTGAGCTGATACCAGGACTCAGCTACAGTGTATTTGTGCGGGCATGGTATGACGAGAACACATACAACATCTACAAATCCGACGGCGTCCTCATTGATATTACAGCACCCAGAACATTCTCCCGACAAGGAGTAGCGGTGGGTGGGTTTCGATCACTTGTGAACCATACAAAACGTACCAAGTACATCATGACAACAAGAGTATCTACATTTCATTGTATATGAACGAACGAACGTGTGTCTACTTTTGATTACAATGAGCCTATTTGATAGAGCCGTTTTGGTTCAAAGTCACCATCCTGTGGTTTTCTTTATAGGTGAAAGAGCACATGGAATCTGGAGACAGGAAGGACATCGATTACCAGCATCGCGTAGATAGGATATACCTGAGCTGGAACAATGTACTGATGGACACACAGTCAAGACTCCTGAAATACAGGTCTTACACAAGTACTTCACCGGGCGGTATGTTTAAAAACATGTTAGTGAGTGAGTTAAGATTTAACGTCAAATCGGCATTATCTCAGCCATACCGTGACGAGAACAATGTAATTCGTATCAATAAAAAATATATTGAGATAATAAAAACCTGTCATCGAAGGACAGTAAAACTACTAGAATATCACAGCTCTTAATTTAAAACAAGTACACTATCATAAAAATATATCACTATAGAAAACAATACGATATAAAACCGGGCTATAGATCGCCAACAACTGAAGGCTGATCATCATACCAGGGACTAAAAACATGTTAGCTAAGGACAACGAAGAATCTGTTGTAATGCTTTCGCATAAAATATACTAGACAAAATAAGTTGATTGATATTTTATCAGTGTGTCAATGAATAAATATATCATTATTCATAATTTCAAAATTTACATATATCCCTAACTATTTTTGTCCAGTATATATTCAAACTGGGTCTGTATGTTTCAGGTTACAGCATACATGCGTCGTCTGACATGACTGCCACGAACTGCACAGTGTCTGGGTTGTCTCTGGAATCTGGAACAATGTACTACTCTAATATCCTTGCATATAACAAAGCAGGACTGGTTGCCTGGGCATTCTCAGATGGGGTGCAGATTGATGTCACGGCACCAGTAGCAGGGACTGTAGAAGATGGAGACGGTAGGCATAGGATTTCTGTACCATTCAGCGATGAAAGAATATAGAATGTATATTGTAAGTGGCATGACATATTAAGACGGTCAACATAATTTTGTCTTTCCTGTCACTGTCCAGGGTCCGGTGATGTTGACTACCAGTCCTCCCAGACACGGGTATCTGCATCCTGGTTTGGGTTTGCTGACAAGGATTCCACAATCATCAAGTATTTCTGGTGTGTTGGTTCAACCAATGATACATCTGCATGCAGCATCGTGGATTGGCAGGATGTGGGGCTACACACATCAGCAAGAGCACGCCTGGAGTCACCACTTGCTGATGGTAAGAACATAAATAATTGATGTGATTGTTTTTGAAACGACACTGCAGCTCACCTTACACACACACACACACACACACACACACACACACACACAGAGACAGACAGACAGACAGACTGTATGTGCACGAAAATGCAGAATCAGTTAACGTGGGAAATACGATGTATTTAATATGACTAATTATGTCTGTTACGAAATGATTGTGTTACACATGTAAACTTATTTTTACTATTATCATATCGATTAACCGTGCATTTAGAACGATGGATTATGTTAAAAGAATGGACGATAATAATCGCAAGTCGTGAGTTACTGACGTGAGCAAATTAATTTATATTTATGGTTTTAGCTATGCGTGGGATTTTGAAAATATCGTTAACACTGATTTATTGGTTATGCAGTTTTTTTCAACGAGTTAAAGATTGAAACATCCAGTGTATATTTTCAATGTTAAATGAACATTCTAATTCATGTGTCAAAAGTACGTTTAATATGGAATCATACTTGTCAACTTTATATAACAAAGATTTAAGAAGATTTTTATCACTTTTACGAGTAGGTGAATTAAATATCATGAAGAATGCAGGAAGAAGAAATAATATCCCAAGAGAATTACGATTTTGTCCATTTTGTAAGAACATGTTAGAAGATGAGGTTCATTTTTATGTCTATTTGCCCACTATATAATGATTTAAGAACAAGACATTTGTTAAATATTGACAGAAAAGTTAGAAATTCTCTCATCCACCTTGTTCAAAATGAAAAATGTAATTTTCTGACTAAAATTGACATTTTATACTTATCCTGACTCATGCTAGTTGCTTGTCTCCTTCTCCTTGCGAATGATAGTGGAACACTTGAATCCCTTTGAAGTTCCCTTCAAAAAAGCGGACGTAAAATCACTCACCCACAGTAGCCTCCCTTTGCCCCCTGGAGCCATTCTAGTCACAAGTTCAGCCATGCCTGTCACTCTCTCCTTCTTCGCACTAGCGGACTGTTGTGAGAGCGCCTGGATCCCTATACGGCACTATATCCTTTTTCTCTTTGGACATCTACTTCAAATTTTGTTGTATACGGTTTTCGGAAGAATATACCAACAATATGGTTTAAAATTTTGTCTAAATTTATATATATTTCACGTTCTTTGGCATGATTTTTCATCGTGTTTACAACTGATGAAAACTTGCTTTCGTTGCAGGTACCAGTTGTCTGCAGTTATCCTCATTTATTATGTCCTAATTGCACTATCAATTCCAGCTTGCGCTGTCAACTTTGTCAGCATTTATCTATTGTTGAAATGAATAATTACTTAATTTCTATTCATAGACGTGCTAAGGACTGGTCTAGACGGCATTCACAAGTCATGTCTAAATCAAGTGATTGCGCTGATAATAGTTTATTAATTACTGCTGCTGAAGTTCACCATTTCAGTGAATTGCCGGGCGTCGTTATGGGGCAGGTCGCTGTTCCAGGGGGGACCTCCAGTTCCAGGGAGAAGATCATCATCATCTGAGCTACCCTCTTCACAGACAAGAAGACCAGATTGTCTTCTACACGGAAGAGGAAGACGACCTCAGATAAGACTTTGGTGAAGTTTCCCCACAGTGCATCACATAGAGAGTCTGCACAAAGGACCAGCAATCTTCACATCGCATCCCAACGAAGAGGGAAGCCTGCGTGAAGGAGGAAGTCTGCATGAAGGCTGCTACATAGACCTCATCTACGATGACGAGCCTGCACAAAGGACCAGTAGTCTTCAGATCGCATCTCAACGAAGATGGAAGCCTGCGTGAAGGAGGAAGTCTGAGTGAGGACAACGATGATGCAGACCTAGACGTGCCGGAAGGACCTTCCAAGGAGCCTTCGCACAGGAGCAGAACTAGACGTTCCTCAGAGCATCGCAGAAGTCGGGCACATGGATCATCTTCACCCTCAGACGTGGATTTTCGGAGTGAGGCTGCATGCACGCACTCATCATCACCGAGAAGAGAATCCACACCTTCACGAAGGCAGAGGGATACGTCTCAAGATTCAAGGGAAGATTCATATTCCAATCGTTCACCTGCGGGCAGGTCTTCAGGCAGGTCTTCAGAAAGGTCTTCAGGCAGGTCTTCAAGCAGGTCTTCAGGCAGGGACACACGTCATCGTGGATCAGAAGATATCTAATGATGATTTGATACGCTCACCTTTCACCTGTCGACCCGATTGCTCAATCTCAGCGCAGCCTTGGTAAGGCTTCGAAGTTCCAGAGTCAACATGTCCCAACGTTCAACGCCAGGAAATTCCCGCTACTTCACATGGAACCCTTTATGAAGGCTCCAGAGATTGATAAGAACTACAAGATCATCAACGACTCCCATTGTAGAACTTACACAACTACTAGACGTACTTGTTTCGGGCTAGGCAGATCCAACATCAGCGGGCTTGACTCTCTTGAGGAAGGGGACAGCTTGACAGTTATCACCGGCCTAGCATTGGCATTGTCGCAGTCCTCAGCGTGACATCGTTTTTACAGTCATTATAGCAAAAGTATCAAATCGACAAGAACCTTTGTGTATTCAACACAAACTGGTTATTTTACGGCGCTTCATTGAGACCGATGACTACAGTCTACAAGTAACAGCGTTAAGCAAGTATGGAAACTTCAGCTGATCATCTGTATAAGATGACGACTGCATTATCTTCAGTGAAGAAGGAAACAATCACAGCTGCTAGGGAGACCTACATTGGTATTACGCGGCAAAATCTTTCGCGCGTTTTCCACTCAGCCTTCTATACACGTGTTCACTCGTGTAACTCCGGGACAAGTTGTACAGTGAGGTTACGGACAAGGCCGAGTGTTGATGAAGAAATCAACGACTGCACAAGATTTTACAAGGATCTTTTTCCTGCAACACCGGTGACGTCACATCGCGGGAATCTGCGATGAATCAAATTCTGCAATTTGATTGGTCCATGAGAAATAACGACCCTGGCATAGCTTACGTGCCAGAAAGTCGTCTACAGTTGTAAACAACTTTTCAACGTGGGGGGAAGGCTCCATTTACAGTCCAGTTAGCAGGGTACAGCGTGATTCGACTGTCTTCACGGGTCATAAGGACCTTTCCTGTCAGCAGATTGAAGATTGTTTATCCGGGGATTTGCAGCAACATACGTTAGACGATTTCTGCTCGCGACAGCCAGTCTACTATAAATAGACTTCACAGCGATGACAGTTCCAGTACATCTAGAGACGACGAATTATGCATTATCACTGCACTTTGTTAGGATTCTGGTGACAAGTTTTCTTGACATATTATCTGAAGATTGAAGAAATAAGCTTCAAGTCATTATTCCAGAACCGGACATTGCTCCGCTTCCATTACGGACATGGCAAGGGTTCCACTGTCTACTTACCTACAACATAGGACATGAGCAGATTTCTGGGAAGATGGTTAATCTCACCACAGAATCGTCTCAGAGGATCGTTGGGTCTAGATAAAAGCCATGGTATCTCAAGCAATACTCTCTCCGTTGACACTATGAACTTGGCAACCACGCCCACTACTGAGATTCGTCAATGCTCATCTCAACAATATGGATCCACTGGAGAGTCTGGAACCATACCTGCTATGGTAGACTTAGAAGTTGAAGGTTTGCGGAGGAACCTTTTTATCAGAGCCGGTTTGCAGCACTCAGTTCTACGTGGATGCATCACTACAAGGATGGGGTGCTCACTTCGACAACGAAGTGGCAGCAGGGGAAGTGGTCGAGTCAGGATCAGAGTCTGCACATTAACATGCTGGAGATGAGAGCAGTGATCAACGTTTTACAACACTGATTCAGCGTACTAAGGAACGCACGGCTCATGGTCCATACGGACTACTCCACAGTAGCGTTCTTCATCAACAAATGAGGATCAACAAGATCAACAATCTGCTAAATCTCAGCTTTCTCCTGTTCAGCATCGTCGACGACCTGAACATCTACATAAAGGCATGTCACATTCCAGGAGCAAGAATGTCATAGCAGACACCTTATCTTGTCCACTACAACCATCCCTGACGGAATGGATGTTACATCCAGAGGTGTTCCGGCTCGTCATACAAACAATAGGATCTTAGCTGATAGACCTGTTTGCAACAAAGTTCAACAAACAGCTACCAACATTCGTCTCAACGATCCCGGATCCTCAGGCATGGGCAACAGATGATCTAAGCATCTCATGGGAAGGACTAAAAACGCTTATGCGTTTCCACCTTCAGCACTATTGCCACAAGTGTTAAAGAAAATCAAGCAGACGACAACGCTGCAACTGATTTTGGTCGCGCCCTATTGGCCAGCGAGGGTATGGTTTCCTGCCCTCATGCAAGAACTCGGAAGTCCGACCCTGAAACTACCAGAGTGGTTGAACCTGCTCGTCAATCCACACAAAACGAAAGCTCACGGGAATCCGACAGTGTTCCAGTTACACGCGTGGAGCGTACCAAAACTAGCTTGAAGAAAAGAGGGTACTCCGCCAGAGCAGCGAAAGCAGTAACACTAGTTCTACGCAGGTCAACTCGCAACTTGTACGACGACAAGTGGCAAAGATTCGAACGGTATGCAATGAGGAAAGGCTTCACGGCAGTGAAAGCAACTCATCCTCAAGAGGCGGAATACCTGTGTCATCTACGACAGACGAGACACTTAAAAGGTTCAAAACTCTCAACGTACCTGGCGGCCTTCAGCACAGTTATGACCATGTAGACGGGTGTCAAGCTGACCAAGGTACCAGAGATACTGGCACTACTGCGCTCGTTCAAGTTGGAAGACCAACAAAAGAAATTCAAGGCTCCTGCTTGGGATCTCAACGTAGTTTTGCAGCATCTCACCAGTGATGCTTACGAGCCTCTAGAACGGACATCCTTCGAGTTTTAACACAGAAAACTCTGTTCCTGATCGCCTTGGCAACAGCAGCATGGATGTCGGAGATAAATGCTCTGGACTTCGAACGAACACGATCTGGGACTGGGATGGGATGTTATAGTGAGTGAGTGAGTGAGTGAGTGAGTGAGTGAGTGAGTGAGTGAGTGAAGATTTTAAGTCACATCGGCAATATTTCAGCCATATTGTGACTAAATCAAGTTATAAATATATTAACAATTTAAGGTAAATTATAAAATTCCGCCAACAAAGGACAGTAAAACAACTAGATTATCACAGATAGAAATATAAAACTAGTAACTAAATCTAAAACATTTGAACTATACAAGACGATACAATATAAAAACAGACTATAGATTGCCAACAACTGAAGGTAGTCCACCAGACCATGGGGACTTACAGTACATTTGCTTCCTGCATGGAACCTAGCTGGATTTACACCATCGCTTCAGCCGTTCGCAATTTAGCAAATCTAGCCATAGATTAAAAGAACAGGGATTCTACGATTAAAAAGGTGGAACGTTTTAATTTACTTCGAATGTTTTGGGACTTACGTACCCTCTCAGGAGGACAATAATTTTACAGTACTTTAACCCCCCTCGACGATACAGCCACTCACAATCTTAGTTACTAATTCAAACTTCCAATCATAAAATATTTATCTATTTACAAATCATTTAACAAATCTAATTCTTTTAAAAGGGCAATAATTAAATGAGAACTGATACTAGTAAAAAAAATCCTTCATAGTTCGTGATTTAAAATAATTATCCCTTGTGATTGAATATTCAACACAGTCAAGCAGGACATGACTGTGATTCTTTCATCACAAGGGATACAAAACGGAGGATCCTCACCTTTCAGTATGTACTCATGAGTATATCTTGTGTGGCCAATACGACATCGTCGTATGATGATGACCTCTTCAATTCTGGACAGACAACCCAAGTGGGTATAACCAATATAGGGTTTTATTTCACATCAATTTATTTATACCCACCTGGGTGTCCCACTTCTTCTGCATTAGGTCACGGATATAAGATCTGATGACAGCTTTATAATCTGAGTATGGAATAAGACGTGGTGTGACAGAGTTGTTGAGTGTTGCCTTGGCAGCAAGATCGGCCATTGTATTCCCAGAAATGCCATTGTGGCTGGGTAACCAACAAAAGACGATATCGTATTGGCCAATAGCAAGATCATTATATAATTCAATAATTTCTATTAAAAGTGGATGTTTACAAGAAAGATTTTTAGAAGCCTGAAGGCAAGAAAGAGAATCGGAAAAGATGATATATTGTTTATGTTTAGGATGTCTTTTAATGTATTTAAGAGCCGTTAATATGGTGTTTGGTACTGCTGTAAAAATAGAGCTGTTATCTGGTATTCTAAAAGATATTGTTCTGGATCCAATGACAGTGGCAGGATTTTATAGCAAAGAACCAGCTGCCCGGTCAACCCGACAGACAGTTCCACATCCCAGCACTATCTAAAGTCCTTGGGCCACAGGATATCCAGGATCTATCCTTATGCCCAGTCTGAGCATTAAAAGTCTACCTACAAATGACTAAGACGAGGAGACGAAAATTCAAGCGCCTTTTCATCCCTCTATCTACGGAGACGCCTACAGAGGTCTCACGTACGACGATATCGACCTGGATGAGAGCCGTCATCTTAAGGGCCTATAAAGCAGCAGGACTTGAACCTCCACGAGCCTCCAATCCTCACAAAGTCAGAGCTCTGGCGTTGACACTCGCTCTGCATGGAAACTGCTCCATCTCTACGACAATGGAGGGCTGCTTTTGGAAATCGGAGACGGTGTTTGCCAACCACTACATCAGAGACATTGCTACCGAGGACGTCTCCGGCATTCACCAGTTTGGGCCTCTTGTTGTAGCACAACAATTGACGGTTCCACAAAGGCGCTGAGATGAATCTCACCCATTTATCACGTGACTTGTAAAAGCCAACGCTCGGGAGAGCTAGAGCTTTAGAGTCCATGCGCACGTCTAGGACAGACCAGCATGAGTGATAGACCCTGTACTTGTAAAGGAATTACTCGTACATGAAGTAGGGTCGCTTCTCCACTTGATGCGAGCATCAAGAGATGGAGTTGCAATAAATCCACACATAATGTCAGGAGAAGAGTTCCAGAGAAATCTAACAAGTAGTGGTCCCCCTAGACTCATCTGAGGAAGATGGAAGAAAAGGATCAGCACAAGTGCCATCAGAAGTTCCTACGGGGGTTATGCAGGACGTAAATCAACAACCAATGAATCCAGAAGTGGCCTGACCCACCACCGATTCCGTTGGATTCTACAAGCAAATAGCATGAGTCAGGATAAGCAAAAATATGTAATTTTCTGACTAAAATTGATATTTTATACTTATCCTGACCCATGAGGTCAGCCCTCCCAACCCCCCATCATGGCACTTTGGATTTCCCTGTAAATCCGGGTGTCGGGCTCATATACGGAGAAAGTGACAGGCATGGCTGATCATGTGACTAGAATGGCGCGAGGGGTCAAAGGGAGGCTACTGCGGGTGAGTGATTTTACGTCCGCTTTTTGAAAGGAACTTCAAAGGGATTCGAGTGTTCCACTATCATTCGCAAGAAGGAGACAAGCAAATAGCATAAGTCAGGATAAGTATAAAATGTCAATTTTAGTCAGAAAATTCCATTTTTCATTTTGAACAAGGTGGATGAGAGAATTTCTAACTTTTCTGTCAATATTTAACAAATGTCTTGTTCTTAAATCATTATATAGTGGGCAAATAGACATAAAAATGAACCTCATCTTCTAACATGTTCTTACAAAATGGACAAAATCGTAATTCTCTTGGGATATTATTTCTTCTTCCTGCATTCTTCATGATATTTAATTCACCTACTCGTAAAAGTGATAAAAATCTTCTTAAATCTTTGTTATATAAAGTTGACAAGTATGATTCCATATTAAACGTACTTTTGACACAGAATAAGAATGTTCATTTAACATTGAAAATATACACTGGATGTTTCAATCTTTAACTCGTTGAAAAAAACTGCATAACCAATAAATCAGTGTTAACGATATTTTCAAAATCCCACGCATAGCTAAAACCATAAATATAAATTAATTTGCTCACGTCAGTAACCCATGACTTGCGTTATTATCGTCCATTCATTTTAACATAATCCATCGTTCTAAATGCACGGTTAATCGATATGATAATAGTAAAAATTCATGTCGACTTTAATAAGTTTACATGTGTAACACAAACATTTCGTGACAGACATAATTAGTCAGATTAAATACATTGTATTTCCCACGTTAACTGATTCTGCATTTTCGTGCACATACAGTTGGCCGGAATGCCAGTCCTTTACTCCGTTAGTTTATTAACTTCAAAAATCATTTTATGCCTTTCCAATGCACTTCAACTTCACTTTAAAACAGATATTTGTTGACATGTTGTCTATGCTGTGCTATGACCAAGTTTTGAAAATATCTCTGGTGGTTATGTGGTTATTATTTACAGGAACACAAATATGGGCGAAGGTTTATGCAGTAGACGTTGTTGGACACACATCTACAGTGGTTGTATCAGATGGGGTCATCATTGATTCATCGCCACCTGATGTTAAGGACATTGCCTATCTAGGGGAGAATCTGGTGTCCAATCCCTCCTTTGAGGAAAGCATTAGCCAATCCACTGACTGTCATCCTGAACTACCTTCATGGAAGGCTGGGAGGCACTCCTGCATCAGGCTACTGACACCTGGTGTTCACCATGCCACACACGGGAAGACAGTAGTTTCTGTACGAGGCAGCATACAGCAGAATGTCATGAACCTTGACGTTGGCAGCAGATATAAAGCCACCATCCATGTTGGGTATCCTTTGGACATTACTGTCAACCAGAAAGTAGTAGAAGGTTTCATATCGTTTGGGAATGACATCTTTACCTTCAGCCTCGATCCACACCTATGTGTAGACTCGTGTTATGGAACAGATGGACGGGTCATCCTGTGGAGCCAGTATAGCTTCAGTTTCCTGGCACAGAACGCCACAACACCGCTGACGATTGGGACGTCCTCCATCAGCATGGAAATGGCCCTGGATCACGTGTTGTTGCAAAGAGTGGATCATGTAGGGAATGCAGATACTATGGAAACAGAAAGTAACGTCAAGCTTCAAGCTGTCTTCCGGAAGCACTGGTCATCAGTTCACGTATCTTGGCACTTTGATGATGGAGAGTCTCCAATTGTAGAATACACAATGGCTGCGGGTGCGTTACACAGTAGAATGTCATATCAGTCTATAACTTGGTCGCATAACCTCACTTGTGTAACTCGAGAACATGCCCGACAATGATACTAACACTCAGTATTGTCACTTTATTGTCAAGTATACGGTAGAATTTCAATTTAACAAGAACAGCGTCTATATTCACGAGACAGTGATACACGTGCTAATGCCCAGATGTATGTAGTTGTTTAAATGTAATGAGCGTTAAAAAGATTGAATTAGTGTAAAGCCAAAAAAGAATCATATCTCTAAAAGGTTACCGGTGAAGATCTGGGTTTAGAATTGATCTTCAGTAGCCCATGCTTCTCGTAAGAGGCGACTAACTGGATCAGGTGGTCAGGCTCGCTGACTTGGTTGACACATGTCATCGTGTCCCAATTGCGTATATAGATGCTCATGCTGTTGATCACTCGATTGTCTGGTCCAGACTCGATTTATTACAGCCCGCCGCCATAAAGCTGGAATATTGCTGAGTGCGGCGTAAAAGTAAACTCACTCACTTACTCACTCGCTCACTCTTAAAGGTACTGTCTCCGGAGGAACTCAGGTGCAGGGCTTTAAGAGTGTTAGCCGACACGCACATGGAACTCTGTCAGGTCTGAGACTGTCCCACAAACAGAAACTGTTCCTGACCATCACTGCCAGGAATGCTGCTGGTCTCACAACCGTCTCCCGCCCTGACCCTATCACTGTCGACATGACCCCGCCGATGTTCTCTCACATCAATGATGGAGACGGTAAAGTGAAATACTTGTGGTTCTGTCAAACTACATTTAAGAAAACCAAATATTTGTCAGATTTAAAGAACGGCTCATCATAATCAAACAGTCATGCAAATGCATTTAAAAAGTTACATCAATACATATTTGCTTCAGTTAAAGCCTTTTGGAATATCAACTTTATATTTCGTGAATACAACGTTTCTTACTCATTCTTCCAGTGAATGATACAGAATAGATATATACATATACTCTTTGAGCAAAGTACATAACAAGATAACTGTGGATAATAACATATGAGCAACAACTGTATTGAGGTATAAGACTAATTTATTCTTCCTGTAGGGATTGACATTGACTACCAGGCTTTGGGCGATGTGTACGTCAACTGGGCAGTCGAGGATGCCGAGTCGGGTATTGTGCACTGTAGCTGGGCAATAGGTATATATCATAACCCAAACACAGCAGTTACAGACGTGTCCCAAATAGGTGACGTGGTATACTACAGTTCGTTCTACTCTCGTATATAGTGTAATAAAGTACACTTTCGCCCTGAGGTAGCATCATTTAAGTACGAGGACGCTTGTGTTATAATAGTTCAGGACAAAACTGTACTTTATTACACTATACTTGAGGGTAGAGCGAACTGTAGTTTTTCTGAGATGCCAAAATTAACAATCCTCGCTCAGGGCTAGCTGAGGTGCTGTTCTATTGCCTTGACTGCCCCCTAGTTAAGAAGCAGAAAACAAATGATACACAGTTTGAAGACAGTTTATGTTCGCGTTAAATGTCTTCTCTATATTATTTTAATTACATCTGCGATTTTTGTAAACCATATGGGGCAATATGAACCTCGGATTTAGTTTACACAGTAAATCCAGATTGAGCCGACTACTGACGCGACATCCACGAGATACATTGTGGCACTACGGACATGGGCTTAGTTAGCCAACGTTGCTGTGTCGCTGTTTAAGTGTGAGTCGAGCCGAGACATTTCGTTGCGTCGAAAAAGTTAAACGTAATGTTTCCACCATTGATGTTAGCCGAGTGAAGCAACTGCAAACCACAGAACGGGTGCTATGTAGTTGTACTGTAGGAGACTGTAACTGGCGATGTGAACTGACATGCGTCGTGACGTCGGGTACTTTTGATTACGAGGGGTAGCCTAGAATCGTGTGGTGACGTCAATACAGTGTGACGTGCTTTATCCCCTGATAAAGTACGGTCGGCGCCTTTGACCTCTTAGCGAAGCATCTTACAAACCAATTCGAAAACGCGCCACTACAGGTACTCTTTGGTAATTTGTTGATTGGTCTTTAGTTAACGCCACACTCAGTAGTATTCCAGCTATTTGGCGGTCTGTAAATGCTGGAGTCTGGAATAGACAATCCAGTGATTGAAATCATGAGAATCGATTCACAGCATTGGGTTACCATGATATGCATCAAAACATGTAATGGTACAGCGATTTGTTCATAAGTTTAATGTATTTGGCATACATTTAATTTATTACTATTTCTAAAACACTGTGAAAAGTAATTGTTTCCTCCAGGCAGGATACCAGGCAAAGGTGACATCAAGATGTTTCAGTTGGTTTCCCGAAGTCAAACAACAGCTAACTTTGACATCACAAACGTCAATATTAGCCTTCCTCTGAAGATATTCTCAACGGTTCGTTGTATCAACAACGTGGGTTTGATGTCGTCAGCCGTCTCCGATGGCGTAACTCTGACACATGATCAACTAAAGCCTACAATGGCGGCCATCTTGGATGACAAAGTCAGGTACTTCCATCAACGTGGCCAGTGCCTTAAAGACAACAGAGTTCGGATGCACTGGGCCCGGAATCATCTCCAGTCAACCGTGGTAAGTTTAACTGTCTTGCATCTACATGCGTGTTACAGGAATCTGACACATGTCATTTAAGTTAAAATCATTCACTCTAAGACCAAGTTGTCAGTAATGACGGGTGCATGTTGACTCTACACTTCAGATTAAGGTAACAGATGAGTTCGGCACATATCAGACCAGAGTAGACACCGGTGATGAGTTCGCCTCGTTGTGTGGGCTGCACCTCAAGAATTCAGCCTCTTACCCAGTTGCAGTATCTCAAGACAACGTGCTTGGGACACAAGGGGAAACAACTCTTCTTAATCTTACCACCCATGGCAATCCTCCGACAATAACAGGTTAAATTGTTCTATTGTTTTTCAGCCCTTTCACATTCAATTAAAATGTAATTGTCTTTAAAGAAAAACAAGTTTGTACTTGTAATTAATTCAAGAATTATCGAACTTAATAGTACTCACTCATCATAAATTATTATAACGAGTACATGTTTGTAGGATCTGCTGCGATAGCTGTGTCACTGAAAGGAAAGCACATCTCCCTGAACTGGGACGGGCTGTTCGTCTCTCCGTGGAAGGATCTTCAATATGAGATTCACATTGGAACAGTGGTTGGAGGAGCAGACATCTTGGAGGGGGTTCTCATGAAAAGAACGGAAACAAACCTGACCGTGATCCCCACCGATTCCATACCCAAATCTCTATTTGCAGCTGTGACGGCAATAGACCCATGTGGTTATAGTGCTCATTATCAGCAACAAATAGAACTTTAAACATGTCCACACATGGATCGTATTAAACACATATATGTTAAGTATACGCCGGCTTTATGAAACATATATGGAACGACGTCTTCTGTTTTTAAAGATACATTATATTAATTCTCAATATTGTTCGCCATGAATAATTTGCCATATACTTATTAACTGATGATTCAGGCATGTGTTATTGCACAGTCTTTATTTTGCATCGTGACACACAAAGCATAATACATATGTAGTAGCTGTAGAGAAAACTGATGCATATTTTGAGTTGTACAAAACCTTTGTACATTTTTCACCGTTATTCTAGATCAGTTTGGATTTGTTGCTAAACCATCATTCAGTAGTAGCGTGTTTTTGCATTATTTTTTACGCCAGTTGGTAAGATAAATAGTCTGATACTGTCATGTAGTGTTGATTAAGACGTTCATAAATAGATACATTTGTTATATATTAAAAAGTGACCATGATGCATTATTGACTCCAATGAATGTTGTATTCAATTTAGCTCAGCCGCGAACATCACAGCTGAAACAGTAACTGTGCACTGTACATGTGTGTCCATATATTTCCTTCCTTTGTATATAATGATACCTCTTTGAAACAATCATAATCTGGTATTAATATTGCCACAATACTTTAGGTAAAGTATTTGTCAAATTACAAACTTGAGAAATCAGCTTTACCTGATAGAACAACGAAGAAAAATGAAAAGCAGTTTACGACCACCCGATGATAATCAATCTGTCTGTGTGTGTGTGTGCACGCGTGTGCGTGTGCGTGTGTGTGTGTGTGTGTGTGTGTGTGTGTGTGTGAGTGAGTGAGTGATTCAAACGTTCTCCAATATACTTTCGTGTCTTAGGTGATTTGCATTCCATATACATAACCATGTATTAACTCAAAATATGGATAATATTAACTCAAAGCCACACACTCAGATTATTAGCATGTGAATTATATTATCAAATACTGATACTGATACTGTAGTTTACATAGAGACCTATTAGGGTTCCACTAACATGCGTTGAAAACACAGCGTAGCGTTTACTATAACATCTAATCTGCAAACGGATTGTCTGGTCCAGCCATGGAATATATATAGAACATTTCTGAGTGCGACGTTGAACAACAAACAATCAATCAATCTAAACTGAAAACACTGCACAATACCGTAAAGAGTTTGGATGCTGTTGCTTTAATCAACAATTTTGGGAAGTTGTTTTTAAGCATCACGCGATGGAATAGTTCATTTTCCTGTTATGCATCTTCACGTGTCCTGGGCCAATGAACAAGGAAGACGTGCTTCTGCCATTGTCTTGAAAACCAGGTTTCTCGTCCTGTATTTGTTCCGTGGTGGAGGCTGACCCGGAAGCCGTCTGCTCCGTGTCAGCTCCACCATCACTGTGTGGTTCTGCTGATGTCCACTACGCTGGACTCGACTAGATTCGACTGTTTATCACTGCGATTATTAATAGCTGAATCCTTAAAGGGGGTTAAAGCATCGTAAAATTATTGTCCTCCTGAGAGGGTACGTAAGTCTCCAAAAGTCAATTTCGCTCAATTTTAATCGTAATATTTTTGTTATTTTAAATTTCGCCTTAATCTTCCTACCATCGCCAGCGGTTGAAGGGATGGTGTAAATCCAACTAGGGTCCATGCAGGTAGCAAAAGTAATATAAGTCCCCATGGTCCCTAGTATGGTGATCTAGCTTCTGTTGTTGGCGATCTATAACCCGTGTTTTATATTGTATTGTCTCCTTTAATTAACATGTTTTAGTTTTACATGCTAGTTTTATATTCATATCTGTGATACTCTAGTATTGTTACTGTCCATCGTCGACAGGTTTTACTCTTCAAAATGTTTTCATTTTATATTGCATAAATTTTTTTCGTCACGGTATGGCTGAGATATTGCCGACGTGACATTAAATATTAACTCACTCACTGTTTATCTGGAGTAGTGTCTGGCAAACTCATTTAAACATAAAAAATACATATCTCAAAGGTCGACGCCGCAAAAATGCACATTTCCGTATGTATTGAGATACTTATCGATGTGAAGTATACAACATGTTGAAACAAACTGTAAACTAGTGATGAACAACGGGGAGAGTTCTATGGATATACATCTTCTATATTAAGAGGCAAGTGAGAAGTTACTTGTTGTAATGTACATACGGTGTTAGTAGCCACACCGAAACGTCCAACATATCAATAACAAAAAAGTTGTATATCCATATTGAGTGAGTGAGTTAGTATTTATCGTCACATCGGCAATATTCCAGCCATATCGTGACGAGAACAATTAATTATTGTATAATAGAACAATAAAATTAGAAATTAAAGGCCTGTTGAGGAAGAACAGTAAAACTACCAGTGTATCACAGATATAAAAGTAAAACTAGCATGTTATCATAAAACGATATTTTTAAAGAGAACAATACAATATAAAACAGGCTATACATTGCCAACAACTGAAGGTGGATCACCTTACTAGGGACCATAGGGACTTACAGTACATTTGCTACCTGCATGGACCCTAGCTGGATTTACACCATCCCTTCAGCTGTTAGCAATTTTAGATAATCTAGCCATAAATTAAAATAACATACGTACCCTCTCAGGTACACTTCACCCCCTTTGAGGGTACGGTTACTAACAATCTCAGTTACTAATTTAAACTACCGATGATAAAATATTTATCTATTTACAAACCATTTATCAAAATTTATCTTATAATTCTATTTCTTTTAAGAATTCAATAATCAAATGATAATTAACATTACAAAAAAGAAGGTACACTTCAACCCCCTTTGAGGGTACAGTTACTAGCGATCTCAGTTACTAATTTAAACTACCGATGATAAAACATTTATCTATTTACAAACCATTTATAAAAAAATTTCCAATAATTCTATTTCTTTTAAGAATTCAATAATCAAATGATAATTAACATTATAAAAAAGATCCTTCAATGTTCTGACATTGAAGCATTTATCCCTTGTGATGGAAAATCTATACAGTCAAGCAGGACATGCTTGACTGTGATTCTTTCATCACAAGGGATACAAAACGGAGGATCCTCATCTTTTAACAAATAGTCATGGGTGTATCTTGAGTGGCCAATGAGACATCGTCGCATAATGACCTCTTCAAATCTGCACTGACAGTATGTGTAACCGATAGTTGGTTTAATTTCGTGTAGTTTTTTTAAAACCTACTTGGGTGTCCATCTTCTTTTGCATTAGATCCCGCATGTAACATCTAATAGCAGGTTTGTATATCCATTGAACTCTCCCCGTTGTTCATCACACCAACTTCTCAATGCCATTCAAAGAAGTTGTAAACAAGTGATGACAGTCAGATTCTCCTAAAAGAAATGAGCACGATAACACGAGTTTAAAAATAGTACTTACAAGACCTTTGACGAGTAATTTGTTTTTATCTACGTCTTATGCAAAAGGCATCACCCGGGCAGTGCAGACAAATGCAGACAAGTATAGCAAGAATCTTCGGACACATTCACAGGTCGACAGCCTGTCTTCACACTCATACAGAAGGGAACAAGGGGCCTTAAGACATGCGTTGATTCCCTTCTCGCAGAACTGTCCTTCGTAACATACGTACGTACGCACACGCACACGCACGCACACACACACACACACACACATACACACACACACACACACACTTTTGTATAGCGCCCATATCCAGTACAACTGCTGAAAGGCGCTTTGTTTTCCCTCGATCGCTGGATGTCAATCACAACGGCACATCGTATTTTCAATCTCAACTCCCTGGGGATCATACAACTCTTGCTGTCCACTAGGCGCACCGAGTTGATGTGGCTTTCCTATCCTTACGAGGTACCCATTCACAGCTGGGTGGACTGGCACACATATTCACAGTACTTTGTCCAAGTTTGCTGCACGTTGCTGTACCTGCAACTAGGTGTTTGCACCTATTCATGTGGCCACCATCTGGTCATCTACCAACGGATTTGTGGGTTCTTTTAAGTGTACAGGGTTGTGTACTGAGACATGTACAGGGTTGTGTATTGTACACTAGTGGTTGTGAGAACACTGAAAGAGTCTGCACACAAAGTTGACTCCGAGGTGTTTTACACCCGGTCACAGGTGGGCTCGATCCCGACACCTCCAAGCTCACTGGATTACTAGCCTGGCGCCTTAGCCAGCTCGCCCACCGCGCCCCCCCAAACTCGAGTCCAAGAATGTAACCAGATACACATTCAGAAAACTGGTTGCTCTGCTTGGATGTTCACATGGTAAAGACGGGTTTTTGGAGCACAGCTACCATGGTAACATGGGCTAATGAGGACACACACGTCGATGGACACGGCGTTTCTATTATATGTCCTTCTTAATGTATGAAAAGGTAAGAAAAAGACCGATTAGCGGTCACCGAGGCTGCGTGTCCTCCAATCTCTGGTTTCAGTTGTACCTACACCTTCAAATACTTGTTGTTAAAATGAAAAATGTCCGAGTTATTTTCCCTTTTCCCGATGGTCAACCTTGACTCGATAGCCAACAGACTAGGGTATTGCCATGTTTGTGAATACTGAAAAAAGCACCAACCTGGCATTTCAACATATTCATATATCCATAAACGACCCCATCGCATAGCATCTTATCCGTTTGTCTTATCCTACCTAGACATCTCATTCCTCTTTGGTTTGGTCTTTTGGGTAACCAAATTGTGTCTTTCGTTGTGTATAATATTGCGTTCTAAAATGTAGTTAAGCAACTGAGACATGCAAATATAGAAACTGGAGCAGTTGGTAAATTACTAGAAAATACTACAAGCTGTAGAACAATGTATGTACCAGTGCTTACCAGAATATTGGCATATATACATGTTTTGCATGAGGATCACTCATTGAGGCGCTCAAAGAGGCAGTACCACAAATTTCATTGACATGGCGCCAGATTTAGTCACCTGTGTGCAAAACCGAAACTCTATTAGTATAACAATGAACAGATGGTTTCCTTTCAAAAGGGGACGGTAGAGTAGCCCAGTGGATACATTCGAATTTCATCCTTAAGACCTGGTTTCGATTCCCATCATCGGTAAAATGAGTGAATCCCACTTTTGGTTGTCCCTAGCAGTGACAAGGTTTGAATATAGTAAAAAGCATCGTAAAATCATACCCAATCGTTTCTTGTACAACATAGACATGTTTCAACAGTTTTGGATAGTCGTATTTGTATCAGACTTTGTCAACTGTGTGCAGAAAGAAACACGATTAGTATCACAATGAACAGGTGTTTTCCTTTCAAAACGGGACGGTAGGATAGCCTTGTAGATATATTCCTGTATCTCGCTAAAAACCTGGTTCTGATTCCCCTCAAAGGTAAAATAAGGGAAGCCTATTTTTGCCGTCCTCTGTCATGAAATGTGAATACAATCAAAAGCGGCGTAAAACCATGCCAACTCACTCCTTTCAAAATGCGGTACAACACCGATATG